GAGTTTCGTATACTACAAATTAAATGACAGGAAATGTAACAGATTTAAGATAGAATATTACTACATATATTTATAGTGAAAGTAATTTTTGTTTCAACAGAACATTAACAAAACAAGTTGCTAGGTAACGCACAGATAAAGAAGAACACTTTGTCGTTAGACAAAGACCTCTTCTTAACAATATTAACAAATATTTTGGAATAGAATTGTTCTTAGGATATTAAATATATATACTTATTATCTCGTAAATATCTGGGCCTCTAGGCAAGTGGCAAGCGAATTCGTCGATGGAATCGACATCGCTAGCGAGTCTGTGAGTTGGAATGAGTCCCCCGGCGTTGCTATCTCATTATATCTTACAAACTCGCTAGCGATGTCGATTCCATCGACGAATTCGTTTGCTATTTGTCTAGAGGCCTTGTGCTTCAAATAAAAATAAAACAGTCAAAAATATCACAGAATACCTATATTCTAACTCTAGTGTTGCCAAAGAAAATGGACAGGAATTTGCCAAAAATTGGATTGGAATTAGCCTAGTCGCCTAAAACTCGGTAAAATTATTAGAATAGAATAGAATAGAATAGAAATCATTTATTCAAATAAACTTACATTGAAGCACTTTTGAAAAGTCATTACATTTTTTTTTAATTTACCGCTCGTTCGGAAAGCTGTCTCATCACAAGAAGAACGAGCAAGAAACTTGCGTGATGCTCTTTTAAATAATTTTATTATTATTTTACATTTTTAAGTTTAATTGTGTGAATACAAACCACCAATTAGCACTAATTCAATTAAATACTCAAAAAGAAAAAAAAAAATTGAATACATAACCAACTGGTTAAACAATTAATAAGAGGAAATCAGTCATAGTGATTAGAGCAGACCAGTCCCTACAAGCAGCACCCGTTCACGAGTATGACGGATGAGCCAGCCATCACTGCGCTCGACCATATTTTAGGGAGCCCAATGACCCGGCCCACCACGCCGCCACAAGTCTGGACATTTTAGTGAGCATGACTACTCAAAACATTAGACCACGTCAAAGCTACTCACAATTGCCATCTGATAGTTATAGTATTCACATTTTACATAAGAATGCATGCGGCAATTAATACAAAAAACCGCTACGCTTTCATATTTCTAAAATTAATCAATTAAATCAAGAAAGCAATGAGAAAATAAAATTATAACGTTGTATGCTAATAAACTAATTATTTACTTGATATGTTGTCATCTATGAATTCGTCTATCCTGTAATAGGCTTTCTTACATAAAAATTGTTTAATATAAGATTTGAATTGCCTCTCTGTCAGATTTAATGCAGATTCCGGCAGTTTATTATAAAATCTTATGCAATTACCATAGAATGAATTACTGATTTTGTGCAGACGGCATTTAGGTAAAATAAGCTTATTTATATTGCGTAAGTTTCTACTTGTACAGTCTTTGAGTTTTTAAAACTCGCTAAGTTCTTCCGTGTATACATAATATTTTCATAAATGTATTGTGAAGTAACTGTGAGGATATTTGAGTCTTTAAAGCACTGACGTAATGACTCTCTTGAACCCATACCATAAATAGAACGTATGGCTCTCTTTTGTAAAACAAATATAGTATTTATATCGGCTGCTTTACCCCACAGCAGTATGCCATAAGACATTATGCTATGGAAATAACTAAAATATACAAGTTTAGCCGTCGCCACGTCTGTTAATTGCCTAATTCTTCTAATTGCATATGCAGCAGAACTGAGTCTACTGGCCAATTTTGAAATATGGGGCCCCCATTGTAATTTCGAGTCCACTGTTATACCTAAAAAAACTGTATCATTAACAAAATTTACTATTTCGTCATTAAGCAATAACTGTGTATTTATTAGTCTTACATTAGGAAGTGTAAATTTTATACACTTTGTTTTGCTGGAATTTAATAATAGGTTATTACATGTAAACCAATTTAATATTGCAGACATAGCACAATTAACATCGTCTAATTGATTACTTTGACGTCCAATTTTAAACACTAACGAAGTATCATCCGCAAACAGCACTATATCTGCAATTTTCTCTACCATAAAGGGAAGGTCATTTATGTAGATTAAAAGAGAAAGGGGCCTAAGATTGACCCTTGTGGAACGCCCATCTTAATATTAGCTCCCTTAGATTTTACACCGTCAATATCTACAGTTTGAACCCTATCCTCTAAATAAGTTCTCATTAATTTTAGATCATTATCTCTTATACCATAATGTTCGAGCTTGTACAAAAGCGTTTTATGATCCACACAATCAAATGCCTTTGATAGGTCACAAAAAACTCCGAGTGCATCCTGTGACCTCTCCCAAGATTCGAAAATATGTGTCATTAGCGCAACACCTGCGTCAGTGGTAGACTTGCCGGCGGTGAAACCATATTGCTGACTGTGAAGCAGTCCGTTAACCCTGAAGTGATGTAACATTTGATTTAACATTATCTTTTCAAACACCTTACTTAGAACTGGCAAAATAGATATAGGTCTATAGTTCCCTGGCTCAAATTTATCTCCTGATTTAAATAGTGGGATTAATTTGCTAAATTTCATTAAATGTGGAAAAACGCCATTATCAATACATTTATTAAAAATAGTGGCTAGATATGGAGCAACAATATCTATGAAAGAACTAACTACTTTTACAGACATGCCCCAAAGGTCTTCCGTATTTTTTAAATTTAGCTGTTTGAATATTTTTATGATATGAAAGGGGCTAACATGTGAAAATTTAAATCTTAAAGAACAACAACCGATATTAGTCTCTAGTAATTTTTTTGCTCGAGATTGAGATGAGTCCAGAGAAGATGTAATATCAATCGGAATATTAGCAAAAAAATCTTCAAAAATATTAACTACATCTTTTGTTGTTGTTATTAATTTATTATCATAATTTAATGTAAATTGATTACAGGCTATTTTAGATCTTCCAGTTTCTTTATTTATAATGCTCCAGATGGTTTTAATTTTGTCAGAAGACTGCTTAATTTGTTTATTAAAATAATTAGACTTAGCCATAATACAAACTTTTTTAAAAATTTTAGAATAATTTTTTACATAAGTGGTGAATTTGTCATCAAATCGATATTTTTTTTGATCGTATAAATCAAACAAAATATTTCTACTTTTAAGTATTCCTACTGTTGCCCATTCCGTGAATTTAGATTTAACATGAACTTCTTTTTTCTTGAAAAATTGTTCATATTCTCCGGATAAAATATTAATTAGCTTGGTGTAAAGATAATCAGGATTATTACTAGATTGTAACAGCAAATCCAATTTATTTTTAATCGCGCTTTTGTATTTATTAATATTGTAAACGTTTATTTGTCTTTTTGATTTTTTATTATTGTTGACTTTATTGATTTGACTGCTAAACTTAACAACTTGACCACAGTGATCTGAAGGAAGTTTATTTATTATGAATTTTTCTGTATACTCGCAGTTACAAAAAACATTGTCAAGACAAGTAGCAGACGTGGCAGTTACACGAGTGGGTTCATGAAAGACATGACATAAATCAAATGACTGAAATAAACTAATAATTTTTGTACATGTGGGTGTGTTACAAAGAATATCAACGTTAAAATCTCCACATACAATAATTTTTTTAATACTATTAAATACTTTTTTTAAAATATCCTCCATCACCCCTTCAAAAACATTGTAATCACTATTAGGAGGCCTGTACACACATATAAGGATATATTAGTTTCTAGACCCCTTAAATTTTTTTCCAAAGGGGTTAAAATTAAAAAAAACTGACATATGACATTTAACCCCATAAAATTACCTGTTCTCCATCTAATAAGATTAGGAGTCTAAGAGAAAATAGTCTCATTTGATTACAATGATTCATGACAATGATTTCTTATGTTGCAAAAGTGATAAATCTAATTGCTATAACAATACAAAATGTATTTCTCATAGCTTCTTTCACTGGGAAAATTATTGTTGCTGTAGCGACGACCATCTCCTCGTTGATAGTCGATGCCATTAGATATGTATTTTTATTTATTCAAATCACATACGAAGACAATATATCGATATTCACGGAAGACATACCAAATTTTGTGGATAATGTGATATACACAGTTGGCGATCAATTGAGTTACCTGCAGAGAGGTGTAATGTTTATTTTTCAAACATTAACCCGTCGAATTTCCCTGACTGTTAATTCTGTAAAGAATCTCATTACAGCAGTGTTTGTAGTATTTGGTGAAGTCATATTTTTGTTCAAGAATGGAATAATATTATTAGGTGACACTTTATGGCTTATTATAACATTTATACCTGTGCATCTTCCTCAACTACTTAAAGCAGGATTCATGAGCCTACATAACATTATAAGGAGTTATGTTGTTGATATGTATATGAATTTATTGACGATTACAAATTTTCTAACAGATGTGCCTTTAGAATCTTTTATAGGAATTATAAGTGCTATTATCATTGTGCGCTTAATAATTCATTTTAGAGAGACTATACAGACTCAAATTGTGGAATTTTATTGGTTTTTTGTAAGAAAATTCATGTACTTTTATTATACACTTTACAACTACTTTACTGACTCAGAGGTAAGAGTCATAACACATATGGCAACTGGTCAAGACATTACTTCAAGAGAAGTGAATTTTAGTGAAAATGATGTAGATGATACCAATAACCCTGCTGACGCTCTCTGTGTTATTTGCCAAGAAAGACAAAAGTGTGTATTAACATTGCCATGTCGTCATGTGTGCTTGTGCACAGAATGTTGTCGTCGTTTGTATGGCTATCAACGTACTTGCCCAATTTGTAGGACATTTATTTATCACTCTGTCACTGTTTATTTGTGACAGTTCAGATATCTCATAATATATATAATAATGATTTAACATTCCTGTAGATAAAAGCATTTAAATAGACTGCTAATGTATGTAACAATATTTATTGGTTATAGCAGTCCACAATTGGTTATTGCAAATAATATCAACCTAATTAATGCTTAATTTTTCCAGAAGCAACTTTATGCTCATAATGTAAACTTTCTGAAATTAATAGCTAATATTTTTATATTGTCAATATGATTTTCTTTAAAAAATAATTCTCAACTATGTGTTATTAGAATATTTACAAACATAGGTATACTGTTATTAAAATATTAATTCAATAGTAAGCAGTTTAAATTCAATTTAAAGTTTTTATTTATATAAACATGTAACCTCACCTTTTTTTACACAGCCAAATGAAGGGGATTTTGAATAGTTTCTAAAGTATGTACTTGTTACAAAATAATGAAAGAATACACAATGAAGAATACATATGAGTAATTTTTTTTATTTTATTCCATCTATAAGTAATTTAACTGTCTGTATTATAAAAGTAGATATATATATCACAATTATATGACTAGTCAGTCATAAAATCTAACTACTATTATGTAGTAATCCATAAAATAGATTTGTATGATCTATTATATTATATAAATAAAACTAATATCTGTAGTGATTACTCTATACCTTTTATTATTAATAATAAATAATGTTACATACCTACATAATTACTGTGTAGTCCCAGCATAGAATAAACCACTCCTTCCTTTCCTATAGGTGTCATAAGGGGTGACTAAGGGAATTTAAACTAGATATAGTAGCAGTTTGTTTTATAACAAAGTAAGGTACTAACTGCACACAAGAACATTGTTTTAATTATTTATTTATGAAACTAAATACAAATTTATAATTATTATTATTACAGCTATTAACTGTCCACTACTGAACACAGATCTTCCCTATAAGGGGAGTTTTGCCTGTAGTTGCTACACTTGAAAGGCAGGTTGATAACTGCTAAGCTTTGGTGATATTTTAAGAGGAACACTCATCCAGTTATTTGACTATTGAGATAGCGTCTTATGGCACTCATGGGAAAGGAAACGGTGGCCCTATCTGTGCTAGGACCACTCTTTTTTAATTTAATAAAAAAATATTATTATTTTAATTATTCACAACGATTTTAATTTTTCCTATACTAAAGTTCTTCTATTCCTGACATTAAAATTTAAATCTTTAAATGATATTTGTACATCCTTAAACATATTTAGCATACAAACAGCTGTTACAACTACTAAAAAACCACAAAAACTACCTAAAATGTCAGTACTTTTCATATGTTCCCATTCTCTGAACAATATACTGGAGGCAATAATGACTAATACTGTAAACATCACATAATACACAGGAGTTACAACACTTGTATTAAATATATCTAATGATTTATTTAAATAATTCATTTGTATTATAATACATACAATAGAAGTAATTAAAAGTAACCAAAAGGATTTATTTTGTACACTGTTGATTTCAGTAGTAATAGTTTCTTTTATGGCTAATGCTACTGCTTTACAAAATACAACAGTTAGACTACCTATAGCAGAACACAAAAATAAATATATGGAAATGTTTGTGTTACCAAATCTTGGAACAAAAACTATTTTGATAATAAAACTAATAATGAATATTGTTGCCACATATGAAATAAATACATCATTACTTAATTTATCAAGTAGTTCTGTAAATGTTTGGATTTCTTCTGATTTTGGTGAATGTATTACAAATATTATTGTACCAATAATACATAGAAAGCATCCCATCTGAAAATTGAGAAAAAATATTGCTTTATTCTCAAATCTTTAATATTAAAAGAGAATGCCTATATGACTGTCAAAAGACACCTAGTATTGGTATTAAACCTGTTGCATCACTATGAAATTTCACTGAACATAAAATATTCTTTAAAAACTTTGAAATAATATTGGTTATTTCTTAATAAATCACCAGGTTTCACAGTAATTAACTCATCTATTTTAAATTTAACTAGGGCTTTCAGTAGAAGTAGAACTCTTAAGTATAAAAGTTTAACTTATTACACACTACAACTAGCTAAATTATGCACCACCACTTAAATATTTTATTACAACAAGTATGTTTTACATACCTGTTGTAAAAAAATTAATAATCACAATGAATGCACAAAAAGTAAAAAAAGATAGAGCGAAATACACTTTACTCACCAGTAGATAGCTATCAGTGAATGATAATTGACAATAATTAAATGACAGGTATGATCTAAAATTGATTTAATTGAATCGTTTGGACCTCAATATTATTGTTAACATTTAAGAGTACATATTATTATGAGATGAACATCTATGATAATGAAATAGTATATACAGAAACTATTAAAAAGTAGGTAGGTACATAAATAAGTTTAGTGAGAAAATATAATAAAGACATATCTATCCATAATCCAGGGATATGCAAATTTGCTGTTACTTGATAAAGTCATATTGAGTAAATATAAGAATTATTGATATGAAAGCACTGACAAATCAAATTTCAGCAATACTGCTAATGGGCCTTTTGCTGCTGTAATTGGCCCTTTTATTACAAAGTTACCTTTCCAATAAAATTAAGTTTTTCCTGGAGGAATTTTGAAGATAGTACTGCTGCTACAAGTACACTCAGTGCACCCAAAGGAGTAACTAATGCTGCAGGGGTGAATGCATATGCCAAGAGGTTTGCGCCTTCTCCAACGGCCACTGTAAGATAAATACTGTATAAAGGATTTTTTATGTCAGACCTATAAACAATAGGTAATTAACTTACTTGTTGCCAAACCTAACCACCACGTCCATTGTTTGAGGTATGCGAACCCTCCGGCTGAAGCTCGAAGGTTTCCGGAAGCCGAAATTTTAATTAATGCTGATTTTTTTATAACAAAACTTGATCCTATAAATATACTGGACGATACTGCAAGACTTAAACCGATAAAAAAGGAATCAGATTTGTCCGTCATTAGTTGAAGACGAACTTTTTAATATCTACTGACCCAATTTTTCATAATGGATTGGACGAAACTTTTCACGAAAATTACTAATGCTTAAAGATATATTTAAGAAAAGAAATATCAATTACTTTATAATTTTATTTAGATAGAATTATAAATTTCAAAATAAACATTAGAGAACTATGTTTTTTTTTATATTAAAACAAAAACATAGATTACAGACACCGGAGTCGATTCTGAGGCGCCATTTCTCTAGCCGTATATCTTAACCTAATATTTTAATTTGATTACATGGACCATCATAAATTAAAATAATAATAATAATTTTGATTTAAATCTATTAGACCATTAATTATTATGGGTCTTACAATACAGATTTTCCTATGATATTAAAAAGAAATTTTAATTTTAAAGTTAAAAAATGGCATCTCAGAATCGACCCATTTTTTTTTCTTATGACACAGTGTAATAGATAGGTATTTTTGAGATCATAGATACTATTACTTGGTCTATGTTAGTGATGTGACTTATCTTGGTAAATTAGTTCTAGTTTCCATGACTACTGTCCTTGTTGATTTTGAGACATAGAAAATAAAGTTGTTTAAATTTTATCTCTTTTTAATTATTAAGTTAAACGCTTCAGAGTGTATGAATGATCTTATAATCCACTGCGTCTACCTTTGCGAAATTCTAAACTTCACACAGCACAAAGTGCATCCGCCAAAAACAAAGTTTGGGAATCAGCATTTTAGTAAAGGAGTTTTAGACGACGGAGTTTAGGATAAGGATCAGAAAAGTTGAATAATGAATAATATAAGGAAAAGGACAGATACCTAAATAGATATTACAATATATTTAACCTTAAAAATATATATGTATATGTAAAATACATAAACTAAGAAAATTTACAACTTAATATTATTCATAACAATAAAAGAGGAAATCAAATTATTTACTTATAAATTATCAAGAAACAATAATACTGGAACTGATGTAGGTAAAAGGAATATGATTGAAGGAAAGGATGGTTTGATTGAAACTCAACAGAATGGTCATAGAAACGATAATTTAGAGAATGTGTCCATTCAAATCAAACCACATCTGTGCCACAATTGCATATATTATTATTCACAATTTTTAACTTAGCCAAATGAGAAGGGAAACTCACATGGCCAAGTCTCATCCGAATAATAGAAGACGTAGCACGTTTATTAATACTATTAATACGGTAAAACCATGGTTTACAGGGAATAATAGGCTGAATATTAAATATATATATAATGTATAATAAATATATAATAATATATAATAGTAATGGCGGGTCTTAACTTGACAGCTAATAGGCCAAGACTCATTCTATTATCTATTATATCTATTTAATAAACATGTACAAACAAAGGTTTGTACATTTTATTAAATAGATTAAATCTGTTTTTTTACTAACTACACTACGATAGTTCCACTGCAGAACTTTGGTTTGGTTGTCCGTTCTTTTTATTATTTAAAATATTAATGAATACATTTGAAAGTGTTGAAGTATAGTTTATTGTGAACTTTATATAGCAACCCTAACTTTGTTTATGGTATTATAAAATAAAAAAAAAAAATCTTCGTGTGTGTCAATGACAGAACTGAAAAAGGTTGTTTTTTTTATTTCTCTTTTGATCGTTAAGAGAGTCCATTTAGTTGACTTTAATAACATATTTATTTGACGTGTAATAACAATAATAATCATAACAGGTTATGGCCCAGCCTGATTTTCCATTTATATGGTATTGTAATTATTCGTACAAAACTAGAACAATTTTCACAAGTCACAGCCGCCATTTTTTTTTTGAATGCGAGTGAAAGTTTTTTGTTCAGAACATTTTGAGAGAGGTGTCAATAATGTCTGTGCGATTAGATAAAATCACAGTGGACAAGTTGGAGGGTGAAAGGTAATTGGATTTCATGGAAATTCGATATCAACTTACAAATAAAATGGCCACATGGAGTTGAGGACCATGTGACCGGTGTAGCGCAACAACCAAAAGATGGAGAAGAACCAAAGTCTTTCAAATTATACCATGAAAAGGAATCAATTGCAAGGTATTTAATAGGTTCAACATTTTAGAGAGACGATTTTACACAGCACATTTTAACCTGCAAAAAAAAAGTGCGAAAGAAATGTGATACCTTCATGCTGTGTATGAACAGAAAAATGAAAGAAGATAATGGATCTTTTGTACTGCGAGCTATTTACTATAAAAAGTTACCAGAGGACAAAACGGTAGCTGAACGCATGTCTCTAGAGTTACAAAGACTGTATACTCAATTAAACTTAGAATTGAAAAATGAAGGCAGTACTTTGCCTCAGTCCTTACTTTTAAACAGAATACTGAATACATTGCCTGTTAACTATCTTGAGTTCAAAAATGCATGGGAATCTGTCCCTGCATCAAGGATAGAAATGTAACCACATTAATGGAATCGTCTTTGTTTAGATGAGCAAAGATTGAATGAATCCAGCAAACCTGAAAGTGAAGTCAAGAAATGTAATAGTTTTGCAAAGACTGAAAAGTACGTATATATAATAAAGGATGTACCTGTTTGTATATATATTTTAAAGAAAAGGACATATCAAAAAACATTGTTTTAAATTTAAAAATAAACAAAAATCTGATTCTACAAATGGACAGATGCTTTTGTTGCACATAGAAAACAGAGATAACTAAAGAGGACAGAAAGATAGTTTTATCTAGAGATGTTAAATTCCTACCAGAACAAGTATGTGTTGATATTTTTAAGAGAGAGATTTAACAGAGCAGCAGTCTAAACATCAGAGAGAGATCCTCTTAACTGTTAAAAATCATGATTTTGTGATATCCTTAATTCCTGATGCTGATGAAGTCAACAGCAGCAAAGTTCAGAAAGTGACAAGAGGACATGCATCATTGTCGATTCTATGGTTATTTAGAATTAAAAATGAGGCTGTAAAATTGATCCAAAGCTCAACATGTGACCAGGTTCCAAGTTCAGGTAAAGATTTTATACATAATTCATGTGATAGTGATCCTGTGTTCTTAGACTGTGATAATTTATCAGAAAGTGAAAGTGAGTCAGTGATAAATGTGGATCCATTGTGTAGTGGTAACAGTAATGGAAATGTCGAAAGTAAAAATTCTCAACGATATCCATATGGAATAGAAGATAAAGGAGTTTCCAAACTATCATGTGTATATGTGCATGGAATCTGATGATGAATGTTTACATTTTGATGATTTTGATAATTTACCAGCTTGTTGGAAAGATGCTATTAATGCTGAACTTTCATCATTGGATATTAATAATACTTGGTCTATTGTAGATTTACCAAAGGGTGTAACCCCTATAGATAGCAAATGGGTATTTAAAATAAAGAAAGACAGTGACAACAATATTGTCAAATATAAGGCTAAGGTTAGTTGCAAAGTGGGTATAATCAAAGATTTGGTATTGATTATCATGATACATATTCACCAGTTGTTCCGTATCTAGTGCACTTAGAATTCTTTTTTCTTTGGCAATTCAGTTTGATTGGTTTATAGACCATTGGGATGTTGTTATCAGCTTTTCTTCATGGAACATTAAATGAAGATGTTTTTATGTATATGCCAAAGAGCTTGTTAATTGATAAAGGTAAAAATGATAATGTGCCTAAGGTATGCAAACTAAACAAAGCTATGTATGGACTGAAGCAGGCAGCCTCAAGTTGGAATAAAGAGTTGCATAATGCTTTGATTAATATTGGTTTTAAGCAGTCTGTTCATGAACCATGTATTTATATTCTCAAACAAGATAACCTTTATTTAATTTTAGCAATTTATGTGGATGACATTTTTGCATTTGGTAATAATCAAAAGAAAAAGCATGATATATTTTCTCTACTAGATAGTAAATTTAAATTAAAGAATTTAGGTCCCATAGAACATGCCCTAAGTTTGAGAATAAGAAGAGTAGGTTCAGAATTAATTGTTGATCAGAAAAGGTATATAGAAAATATATTAAGTGTGTATGGAATGCTAGACTGCAAACCTGTAAATTCACCAATTCTACCAGGTTTGAGGATGAGTTTAAAAGTGACACCGTTGATCCAAAAATTCCATATCAAAATTTAATTGACTGAAGCTTGATGTATATTGCTTCTAAATAAACCAGACCAGACATATTACATTGCAGTTTGTGTATTATCTCAATATAATAATTGTTATACAAAAGAACATTTTGTACAGGTATATATGATATGTAAAATATCTGAAAATTACAATTAATTATTATTTAGTATATAAGAAGTCAAATTAACTTCAGTTTATATGGATATGTTGATGCCGATTGGGCAAATTCAGAAGACAGGAGATCATATTCCGATTAGTGTTTAAACTTGGTGATAATCTTATTGCAAATGAAAGTAAAAAGCAATATTGTGTTTCATTATCATCAACTGAAGAAGGAATATGTTGCCAAGTCTCAGGGTGCCAATAATAGGAGGCTATTTTCTTAAAGAATATTATTAAAGAACTATATGTAGAGATGATAGATAAACCTATTATTTTATATATATACAACCAGTCATGTCATAAGATAGCCTGTCTCCAAGGTAAATAGTAATGGACTAAATGCACATAGACATTAAATTTCATTTTATTAGAGAAGCAGTTGAGAGTAACAAAATAGAGATTAAGTATTTGTCTACTCAGTGTATGGTGGCTGATATGTTCACCAATCTCCATCTGAGTTCTGTAAAAATAAGTAATTTTATGAAAGATATTTCACTGTATCAGAAATTATAAGTTTATTTTTTATATATATATATTTTTATATATATATATATATATATATATATATATATATATATATATATAAAGTTTGGTTATATATATATATAAGTATAGTTTATATAACTTATATATAGCAACCCTAACTTTGTTTATGGTATTATAAAATAAAAAAAAAAAAATCTTTATGTGTGTAATGACAGAACTGAAAAAGGTTGTTTTTTATTTCTCTTCTCCATCGTTAATAATCCATTTAGTTGACTTGTAATAACATATTTATTTGACGTGTAATAACAATAATAATCATAACAGAAAGAGAAGCAACGTTGGACGGTGGAATGATATTAAATTGTGTTAATAAATTTAAAAGAGCTATTACTATTTCAGAAATAGATTGTTTAGTTAATAAAATAGTTTTGTTTATTAATCTTGCTGATTATAACCACATCCATCTGCAGGAGCAGGAGGATTGTAGTCTTTTGTTAAATTGATATATTCATTACGATCAAACCCATAGGAAGGTTTTGGAGGACGACGAATTTTTTCTATGACGGTTTTTTATAAGATTTATTAGAATGAGGAGAAATTACATTATGAATCCCATTCTGGTTTAAGTTTACTGTACTATTTACAATAACTGGATTAGATCTTAGAGTGTCAGCATATGATTTAATAGAAGGAGCATGCAATTTGCTTGTTTCAGCGTAGGAGAAGCAACTTTTAGCCATTGTTTCTTTAATTGCCTTTTGCCTTGAAAATTATGGACATTTTTTGCTGTTTGCCTGGTGAGCACCTTGGTATAAACAGAAGTAAAAATCTTCTTCATGAACAAAACAAGATTATCCAGAGTGGCGATGACCACACTTATAACAACGTGGAACAGATCTACATTGATTTTTAATATGGCCATACCTACAGTAATTATAACACTGAATGGTAGGGTATATATACAAATCAACAGGCAACGAATTATAACACATGAAAACTCGTTTAGGTAACACTTGACCATCAAAAGTTATAACAATGGATTCAGTCATTACAAATTCAGATTTACCGTTAACACGAGACTTTCTATTTAAACGCCTAACTTTCAAAATTTTGCCACAACCTAATGGAACTGAAATATTTTCTATAATTTCCTCATCAGACCAGGTAGTTGGGATGCCCCTTATTATTCCCATTCTTGTTAAATTGAATGTTGGTATAAAGGCTTTATAATTATGAGATTTTAAATCCATACTATTTATAAAAGAATTAGCATCTGTATAATTAGAGAAAGCTAATGATAATCTATTTCGCCCTATCTTTTTCAGACTACCATCAATTACATTTTTGAAAGGGTTTTTCTGAAGAAAACGTCCAAAGGCTATTGGGTGAAGTGAAGAATTATCATCCGGGGATGATAAAATTTTCTGTATGTGAACGGTGAATGAAGCAGAATCATGAGGTTCATAATAAACTCTACTAATAAAGTTCTGTGGACGAGATGAGTCATTCTCCTGATTATTTATTAAATTATTGTCATAAGATTGTTGCTGGTTTTCCTCGTTGAATTGAGTACACTCACATGAAAATTTATTCTTATTATTTTCACTTCCTCGATTCCTTCTACGCTTTTTATTGCAATGCCTACAAACATTGACGGCTACCGATTTACGTTTTCATTTTGTTCTAGAATTATCAGAAATATTAACAGAGCAATCTGTGTCCATAGAGTCCTCATTATTGCTAATAATTACATGAAGAGCGACCTCGGGGACACGGGATCATCCGGGGGGTCCATATATTAAAAAGAAATATATACAAAAACTTAACTAGTTTACAGCTACTATTACACAAATCTAATATATACAAAAATAAACTAATATAAATGCTATTTGTAACTTATCTGATCGATATTATAATAAAAAAATAATATTAATGCAGAAAAACTCGACGGCCAAATTTTACGTATTCCGCTCTTTTTTTTTCTCTCGACCCATTATTATCAAAGACTTTTTTTTTTTTTTATTGTGACTTTGGCGAAAGCCATCAGCCAAAAAGTAACAATTACAAGGTAACAATATAAAATTACAAGACAAATTACAAAAATTATTATAGTTATAAATTAATTATAATATACTAAGAAAGTATGTTAAGTAGAAAAGTATAAGTTACAATTACATATTTAAACTTCACCAATTGTTGAAATAATATAATTAAAAATTTCTTGGTACAAAATGGTATGTTTTAATAGATCCTGCACTGAAGTAGGAATATTTTGACATTTTAATAAATCTTGACATTGACAATTAAAAAGTAACCGTTGAAGTGAGAATTAAGGATAAATAAAAAAAATAAGATCCAAATCAGAAAAAATGTTTTGGCAGTATGTACAGATAGAATTATCCAATAAATTAATACGTTGCAAATGTGCAGGAAATTTACAATGACCTATCCGCAATCTATTTAATGTAGTATAATATTGTCTACCAAGAAAAACATTAGATTTTTCAAACCAAACCCTCGTTGAAGGCTCAGGCGAAATAACAGCCAACCTCAAAAAATTTGCCTTTACTTTTATCAAAGATTATACTCAAGACTCTAATATTATATCTGTGACTGTAGATTTGGCTACAGATAAAGTACTGACAAATCTATGATGATATGTCATGTTCAAAGATTTTGGAATAGAATTTGAATATTACTTATTCTTAGCTCATGACACGTAGCATTGTAAGTATGGTATTTTTTTATTTTGAAAAAAATATTTAACTTACTAAATTTTGAAGATTGATGGAGAAAAATAAAAAATCATATATAGAAGTAAGTTTTTTGTCACTCATGTAATAGTTACATAGTAAAACGTAGTGAAAATTGATAATTTTTTTATATATTAGGTAAACTTGAACGGAGTTGTAGGAATTTTAATAATTTTTTTGACATTTGGGTTAAAATAAAAAATTGCATCTGGCAACCCTGAATTGGCACGTCACCTATCATCTATTTATCTAAGAAAATTTTGCGAATCTAAATGTTTAAATTATTCTTGATTTGAAGTACTAAAATATTGTTAATTGCCTCTCAATCTTGTCTACTATTATTCTACAGCTGATGTTATATTCATTGGTTTGAAATTGTATTAGAATGCGATGCTACCTCGTCGTCGTAATATCGCAACGAGTCTAACAGACCGTACACCTTTACTGGACAACGAATTGGATACTTACGATAAATTGGATAAAAAAGAGTCTCCATTCTCTAAACCATATAAACAATCAAATAATTTTGTTTCTACTAAACGGAAAGAAGATTATTTTGCAGAAGACGATTTCAAATTCGATTTTCTGGAAGATTTTGTGTTTGAAACAGTAATGGCAGCTAGAGATAGAACTAATGAATTTATAGCAACCGTCCGTAGCCTTCAAGGTCGGACGCTTGCCAGACCAGTAGTAAGAGATGAGCGGAAAGCTGCAGTTCTTGAAACATACTCCCAGTTTATGAGCATGGCAAAAGTTATAAGTAAAAATATTTCAAGTACATATGCCAAGCTAGAAAAACTAGCCATGTGTGAGTTTTACACAATTTTTTTTATTGTAACCTAGTATCCCTATCTTTTCAATGTAGTCATGTCTTTTTGGAATGTGTCAAAACAATATTTATTTTTGTCCTGTTTTTTTTTTATGTACAATTTATTTATAATAATTGCATATGACTGTATTGTCTTTCTTTTTTTTAGTGGCTAAAAAGAAATCTTTGTTTGATGATCGACCAACAGAGATACAGGAATTAACATATATAATCAAAGGAGATCTAAGTTCTTTAAATCAACAGATTGCAAGGTTGGGAGAAATGCCAAGGGGTCGCCGAAGTATGCACAGCCATTCTTCTAGTGTTGTTGTTGCACTACAATCACGACTCGCTTCTATGAGTAATCAGTTTAAACAGGTACATTACAATAATCCTATTTTGTGTTAATATGAATGATCAGACATCAGTCAGTTGCCTTCATAAGTTTTCTGTGATGAATTAGAATATATTTGTGGTTAGCCACAGTCTGTTATTAGAGAGATTGTTTCATTTATAAAGTTTTAATTAATTTAAAATTCCATAAATAAAATTAACAATTATTGAACTGCCTTATAAAATTTAAATCAATATGTTTATGTATTTCAGGTTCTTGAAGTAAGGTCAGAAAATTTAAAACATCAAAATAATAGACGAGAACAATTTTCAAGAGTAACTCCAGTGGTGACAGAAGTACCATCTCTTCTTCAACAAGATGATGTGAGCATAGACTTTGGGGAAACCTCTGGTCTACAGGTGCAGAAATTTGCAATGAAGGATGACTCTGATACTTATGTGCAACAAAGAGCTGAAACTATGCATAACATAGAAAGTACAATTGTTGAGCTTGGGGGGATATTCCAGCAACTAGCCCATATGGTCAAAGAACAGGATGAAGCAATAGGAAGAATAGATGCTAACATTCAAGATGCCGAGATGAATGTAGAAGCAGGGCATAGAGAAATAATGAAGTATTTTCAAAACATCACAGGCAATAGGGCACTCATGTTTAAAGTATTTGGTGTTTTGATATTTTTCTTTATATTTTTTGTTGTGGTTATGGCTTAAACTAACATTTACACCCAATGCAAATAAAGTTTCCAGTCAGATAAAAAGTTGAAGTGAAATTAGTAAAGATTAAAGCTTATATAAAATGTATATAAATATATATAATAAGTACTTTCATAATAAAAAAAATAAACATTTATACCTTCAATGTCTAAATAGGTTGTTTATTTTTTATATAATGCAAACTGGCATAATAAAGTGGGCCAGAGCACAGGCTAAATCATCCATTTGTTACATTAAAGTTGTTTCTGTATCTGTGTTAAGATATTTGTGAACAAAACAATTATATTGACTTTTAATAAATAATATTTGATAAAAAACCCATTACAAATCTTAAATCTTCAGTGAGAAACATGGATGAGGGTAAAGGAGGTGGAGGGAGGAAATGTTAAATTTTGACAATAATATTTCTCATCATAACTCACCAATAGCCATTGGGTAATAATAGCATTTATTCAGTACTGGAATGACATACTTATGAACTGATTTCAAAAAAGGAAGAGGTTCTCATTTTTGTTTGTTACCTCATTATTCTGTCATTTATTAATTGATTTGGAATTTCTTTTTTATCTGAAAGGATATACTTTCAAATTGGTCCCATAGTAGTTTTATCAAAATCAATTCAGTACTTTTTATTTCAAATTGAGTGACTCTTCCTAGTAAAGCTTTAACCCTTTTAGTGCCATTGATTTTTACTCATATCTAATTAAAAATGCCAAAGAAATCTTTGTGTTGATATCATTTACCCTCATCTCTAAAAAACTGTATCTCCTCCAAAAATTATCCAATTTTAATATTTTTTTTACAGCAAGCTAAACAACGATTGATTTCACGAGCGCTATGACGCTCGTGGCACGTTTAGTTGCAATGCGCACGAGCGCGATGGCGCTCGTCGGCACTCAAAGGGTTAAACTGTAAACTTGAAATTTGTTTTTATAATGTATTTTGGTATTTCAAATATTTTTATTTCTTTGGTATAAAATCTAAAAAAACTACATAATAATGAATAAAATTGTATTATTAATTTCACATTAAAATCTATTGTTGTCTTCTGGTCACAAACAGACATTACATTATATAATTTCTATTATTTACTTAGGTACTATTTTCCCATTTTAGTTCTGTGAATGAAAGGTAATAAAATACCCTAAAGATGACTTAGTTCTATATATGTATAAAAATAATTATATTAATAAGCACTGTAAATACATATTTTTACGAACAGTATATCATTATTTAGTTATTTTTATTGTAGTTCACCTTTCATTAAAATTGTAAATATTAAAACAAATCCTTGAAGTCCATTCTGTTACACCATTCTCAAATCTATTTTTAAAATTTAAATTCCAATTTTATACCAAAATTGAAATGGTTAAGAACCAATATAAAAACTTAAACTTTTAATAGAATTAAGTTAAAATTACTACTAATTCAGTTCATATAGGTCCTGAACAAATTCCCTGTGATGTCAAATTGAAATTTTAAAGATAGGTTTAGAGTATGGTGCCACAGAATCAATCCCCGTATTTGACACAAATATTTTAAACACGAAATATTAGATTATATAATACACATCACAACCAGTAACACAAAGATTGAATTATGTTTTTTGGAAAGCAATTTTTTCTATGTGTATGGCCATATTATTAAAAACTAGCAGAATACCAATAGAATATTGTCACCGATCATACTTTTTTTCCTGACTCATTTAAAGTCTAGAGAATATCAATAATCTATACTTATACCAAATCTGTAGAGAGGTCAATTCTGTACATGAAATATATTTTCAAAATAACTATCAGGGGGTGATTAGTGATCGATACTGATGCCAAAAATGCAATCAGTAAATTTTTGTCTGTTTGTCTGTATGTTCGTTATAGAAACAAAAACTACTTGACGGATTTTCACGAAACTTGGTACAATTATTCTTCATACTCCTGGGCAGGTTATAATATACTTTTCTTTTTTTTTTTTTACAACACGGGGCAAACGAGCATGCGGCTCACCTGATGGTAAGTGACTACCGCCGCCCATGATCACCCACAACACCAATCACCATTTCATCACGCTATGATCAATAGGAGCAGAGTAGTGGAGGGAAATGTTGGGAAAACGGGAGTAGTTACTCCATTTTTAAGTTTCCGTCGTGTGTACAGCCTTAATGGCCACTTTTTAAAATGTAAAAATGTCCACCCGTGCGACGCCGGGACGGGCCGCTAGTGTAATATAAATTGATATTATTGATAAATGGAATTTAAATAAGTTCCATAGAGTTCTGTACCTTATTAAAAATATATATAAAAACTTAATCTTCAAATTATATATAAAACTTAGATTATACAGATTTATATAGTAGAAGAAATTTATATAGTAAGCTTAAGTTGAAAAGTAAAATACTTTATCTTCACTGTACTTGTACTTAAAATATTTTCCATTAGCAAAATAATTTAAATGGCCATTTTAAAAAACATAGTATTTTAATTTGTGAAAGTAGGATAAATGCTGTCGAAACAAGAGCTCTGAAAAGTATGTATGGAATTACATTAAAAAATATAGTGAGAAATAGTATGATTAGAGAAAAGTGTGCACTGAAAGATAATGTAGTGACAAAGATCGAAAAGTGAATGTTGCTTTGGTTTGAACATTTGAAGAGGATGGAGGAATGATGACGTACAAAAGAGATTTATCGAGCAGGAATGAATGGAGATATCAGTAAGGGCTGCCCTAAATGGACCAAATAGGTGATGTGCTACAGAAAAGCCAATTTAAAAGTACCCATGACCAGCAAGCATGTATAAATGACATGATTGGTGAATGTGAAAGTCTGATTCGATACATTGACACTCCATTGTTTTTTACCTACCTCAATGGGAAACATGAGTGACAGATATGTATGTATATTATATCAGAAAAAATAGTTCTAAATTCCAATTAAAAATATCAAATATCTGGGAAATATTTAATCAAATTTCTTGCAACATTGAAAAAAAAATGGCACACATTATCATGTTTTCTAAATTTTGATTTGTTTTTACACCCAATGGTCTGTCTACATCATATAGACATAGTACTTGTAATTTACTACTAACTGTTATAATAACAGACTGGAAATCGAAAAAAGAAATAATTACATTAGTGTGCTATAATGTAAATGTGAAAAGTTCTGAATTTATATGGAATTAAAGTTATAAAAGTATGTAAAAGTGAGATTGTTTGTTACTTCTTGGCACCTTAATGGTTTATCAATCAGTATGAAATTTGATATACATTTAGTATGGATGAAGAAGGATATAAGCTATTTTTTATTCAGGATAGTGAATATATCCAGGCAACATGCATGAAATTGTGGCTAGAGGTCAGTTTAATTTCAATTCATGGACATTCAGAAATTTATTTCAGTTAAATTGAATTATTTTTGTGCAAATAAAATTAATTCTTGTACTAAATATATCCAATTTTTCTATCTCACATTTAAAAAAAAAATGTAATGTGAAAAATGTGCAATTTAATAACTTTTTCTTATAATGTTATATCCAGGTACAGCATACTTAAATTTAATCAAATACATTCACTTAAACCTAATTCCCATTCAAAACATAAAAATAAGTAGAACTTGTTCATCATCATATCAGCTGTTTACTGATGAACATAGGCCTAGAACTTGTTCATACTACTGCTTAGTTTTGAGCTTATATTGTATAGGTGAATGGCCTACTTGTCTACCTCACTCTAACATGTTATTATGTTTTTCTCTTTTAGATTACCAATCTACATACTATATAATCTAAGTTTTAAAAATGTTTTATATAAGTTAATATAAGCATATATGCTTGCACTTAATGCTTAATTTTTATTTATTAGATATATATAAAATAATTACTAGCACATCCAAGATTGTGATGTATATACATTGTATTATTCTCAAAATACATTTCTTATTCTAATCAAACTACTTGAAAAATGGTGTTAAGTTCTCATATTATTTACAGTTTTTAAAAATATAAAATAACTTTCATTATAAGTAATATATGATTTATAAAAATTCATCACACCAATCCTTCAAACATTGATAACAATCAGCAGACTGTTTCGAGTTAGCACTGCAAGTCTCCTTCATCCATTCTTGAAATAACTCTTTATCTTTCTTTAGAATCAAAAATTGGCCAAGAACAACATAAGCCTGTAATTCAATATTTCCATATTATTTATTTTTATTATCTAAGAATGTAATCCTATATCTACATTATTGAAACCCTTGAAAAGGGCTTGGAACCTGTATTCTAATGTCTGTTTTTTTGTTCGTTCGGTTACTCACTACTTTAGGGGTATAGTTAAAGCATTAGAGATACAATTAAAGTTTACAGTATTTTAAAATTGTCATAGTCATAACTTTTAAAGCAACCAAAACAACCAAGTAAATTTTTGGTTTGACATTTAATTGATTTGAATCAAATGCTACGAGTTTGATAACTGATACAAAGGAATAGAAAGGTTATGTTATGATTAGATGTTACACGACGTAAACAAAGTATATTTAAAAACTGACCTTATCAAAACCAGCTGTTTCTAATCTTTTTCCTAAAACTTCACCAATACCAGCTAAATCAGTAACAGGTTTTTCGCCCATCGGTTCCGCAACAAAGTTCCTATGCTTTTGGGACGTGCTCGACATTGTGACGCTACCTAATGTAAGAGAATAAAAAAGAAATTATATGTGTTAATACGGTATATATGTAGAATAAAGCTAAATTTGATTCATTAAATAAAACTGCATAGACCGTTAAAATGTAAAACGGTGATACTATTAATGTATATCAAATATTTCCAAAAATATAAAAACAACAGGTAATCAATTTACATTCAAAGCTTCTTGCCCTATTGTTATATTAATTTGTGACAAATTTCTTTATCTGACAAAATAAATTGTTTATTACCTCTGCAAGTACTTATTTAATAAATAAACTTTGAAAAGTAATTAAATTAAGAGGTAATAAGAAAAGAATAACGATGTAGCGTAATTTTTTTTTATTAATATGTTTTACGGCTCTGGATACAAGTCCTTTTGAGCCCGGCATTATAAAAAATTCACTTTAAATTGAAGTCCATACGTCGCAAATATCACCATATCTATAATTATATATATCTATCTTATACCTAAGACTTACACACTATAATATATAAGTAAATCACCAAAATCTATATAAACAGAAAAAGAAACAAATGAAAGTTGAAATATTGAAATTCACACTGAAACGGTTACTTATTCAATCTGTGATCATAACAAGACCCACGAATTTTCACAATTTTTCCACCGTTTTTGAAATGAATCTGTATAAAGGCTTTAAAGGCTTTTATGGCCAAATCTCATACGGTTAATGGTAATAATAAATTGTTTGCTATCGGCGTCTTTATTACTATGGTACCAAGGTTGGGCGAGCAGACTACCTTGGATCTTGGCGTACCATTTTCCTTTTTCCTTACTGATGTTTACGTAGTAATCATTCCACAACAATTTTAGGGCATCTTTACGTGAGCAATGGAAGTCGGTAAATGGGACTTTCAGCACAGCAGAGTGGTCTTCATTATGAATATTTCGCGCGGTGTGATCAACTGCTTCATTTCCTAATATACTTTTATGACCAGGTACCCACATTAACATTATCTGTTTTCTACTATTATTGAGGTCATAAATAATTTCTCTAATATTATATAATATATAGTTTGAACTATATTTAAGACATTTTGTAAAGCTTTTAAAATACTTTGTGAGTCTCTCAATAAAACAAATTTTTCACTGTTTACATTATTTACAATAATATGTTGTAATGCTGTATATATAGCATAACTTTCAGCAGTAAATATGCTAGAATTATTATCAATCTTAAAACATCTTATTATTTGTAATTATGGATCATAGAAAGCTGGAGGTAACAATATCAGAAGTTTTTGAACCTGTATATATTCTATAGGAAGGCATGTCTTCATACAGCTTATATATATCAGCTTCATATACAATATTTGTTAACTGTGAACACTATTCATAATCTGTGACCTGTAACATAGAATAAGTATGTATTAGTTTATGGTAGATTGTATTTTATAAAAATCTCTCTGGTTCCTGCTTTGTAACATGGTCAGCGGAATAAAGCTTGCTTTGCGTAAATAACGGGTTTATTTAAAATTATCCATAAAATAACTGCTAAAACGTTCAATATTTTTCTCAATATTTACTGAAATATTATTAATAAGTATTATTATTATATAAATATTATTAATAAGTATTATATATATATATAAGTATTATTAATAAGGGCAAATGTTACTTTCTACATATTTAGTTTGAGAGTGAACATGCATAATAATTCTTAATAATTCAGGAAGATATCCTGACAAAAGTCTCTTAAAGTAAAAGCTTTAAACAGAATCTTTTAGCTATTTATAAACGTCTTATTATTAATGGGGGTATATTTGCTTCACACTCCATAGTATGTATATACTATGGAGTGTGAAGCTTTTACTTCAAATAATAGTTATGTAATAGATAGAATCATACCCCATAATGTTCTAGAATCAAACACATCTATCCCTTATGTTGACTTTAAGAGACTTTTGTCAGGATATCTTATAAGGAAGCAAATATACCCCTATAATATATATGGGTGTTGAACACATTGCTCCTGTAATTATTCTCATTGCTTTATTTTGTATAATTGAGTTTTTGTATTGTAACATTGGCGTGTTATAAAGCTAAAGAAAACTTTTGGGCCAGTGTTTTCATGTTTCAGTTGATCAACATGTTGGCCTTTGCTTCCAGATACAGATTTGCATTTTTTGAGTTGATAGGGTTTGCATTCATATATGCCAAAGAGCTGGAGGCTAATTCTCGTGCATTCGATCGAATCACGAAATCGAGAAAAAGATCGAATTCAAAAATTTCTCGAGCCAAAAATAAAGTTATGTTATTCTGGGTATGTCGATTCCGAAATTTCCTGAGGCAAGGTGCCGACCGAGATGCTTCGAATGGTCGTGAGTGAATCAGCTATAAGACTGGCTCACGACCCACCCTTTGAGTGTTTCTAAAGAACAAAGCATATTCACCTTAGACACTTTTTCAATCGAGAGTGCGTCATTTCAGGATGTCTTGAAGTCTTAAAAACTGATGGAGAGAATCAACTAGCTGACTTCTTGACCAAGCCTTTCTTTAAGCCAAGATTGATGCGACTTTCCAAACAAGTTGGATTAAAATAGGAGACCGGATGTTAAGAAGAGATCTTTGTCTAACGATAATAGTACTCTTCTTTATCTGTGCGTTACCTAGCAACTTGTTTTGTTAATGTTCTGTTGAAATAAAACTTACTTTCACTACAAATATACGTACTAGTATTCTATCTTAAATCTATTACATTTCCTGTTCCCCTTAATTTCTTAAAGAATTTCACTTGTATTATTAACAATTATAAAGAAAGGGAACAATGGCAAAAGAATAAAGAGAATATTCTAGTAGTAACATGTCAACTGTCACTTGGGATGCGTTGCATTACATCTCATTGCTAGCAATATATATCGTCAGGTCGACCTCCACGTGGTTTCCCCTGGAAATAATCGTGCTAACTAACTTGCTTTTTCATTCTCACCCATCATCCCTCACTGTTGCCCCGCTAGCGTACACCGTTAGGGTCAGCGGAGATACCGTTCCATTATCATCCATTATAACCTTTACCATTTTTTACAATTACCATCCATTAAATGACAAAGAGTATACGATTGTTCCAAAGATTTTGGAATAGAAAATATGAAATGCATAATTCATATAGTGTGTTGCTCGTTATATTTATGACATTGCCAATGCGTTAAAGAGGGATAGACATATAAAAATGCATTTTCCTGTTGACTAATCCGTAGAAGTCAAATTTATCAAGATATGTTACTTGGTTTTTATTGACCGTATAACTCTACTAAATTCAGATATAATCTGTTTGCATATTTTCTACATAAATTGTGTCGAATATATAATCTAGTAATGTAAATGAACAAAAATTTTACATACACATTTTCTATGGATTGAGAAAAATAGCAACTGATCTTTCGTCCTTACTAATTATAATTGCATGAGAAAAAAAGGAGGGAACCATATGATTTACAGTTTTTATTTTATCATTCCTTCTATGTAATTCCTTATTCTTAGGCAATCATATATTCTTAGTCTCTGTCTCTTAATTTCTGTTTCTAATCTCTCTAATCTGTGATTCATATTCATATCTGTCTTCAGACAGTCTCTCTATTCTGTGTTTGATTTTATCTTTTGTATTTATTATTATTTAATACAATTATACCTATCGATTTATAATATTGAATAAGATATTTAAAAAAAAAACTGATCACCTATCTATAAAACTACCTAACATAATTTAGGTATACTTTAGTATATGTTTAAATTAATATAAAATGGTAAGTGTTTTTTATTTGTATTTCTTGTGTCTGAGAAAATTGATTTTATAATTCAGCATGTGTTATTTTAACCTACTTAGATTAAAATATTTGTACAATAGGTAAATTAATGAAATGTGTTTTTAGTTTACCTGAAAGAAGACGAACATGGTGGTTTTACACACCGCTTTTATACTTCTCTGTGATCGCACATTATAGCATTTGTATTTTTGTTTGTTTCGGGCTAGAGAGCTTACATGTATAATATGTACATACGTATTATACATGGAAAACAAATGAAATGTAACGAAAAACTAAGTATGTCTATTAGTTGTGTATTACCCATATTACAAGATCTGCTTAGTTTGGGGCTCATTAGATTTGCACTGTTTTTTATCACTTCATTTATATATAAAAATCACGAAAGTAAATATGTAGGAAACTTATCATCAACCATCTAGTATTAGATAAACAAGCTTAAAGTGAAATATGGATTGGCTGTTTTGTTAATGAAAAAAAAAGTTGTTGAAATTAAAAAAAAAAAAACATTAGTATTGCAAACAAGTCTATATAAAACTAGGGTTGACAAATTATTTAATTGCTTTGATTATGGATGACATCACTTTCTTGTTCCTCCCACTCCCTATGATCCCATGTTATCACTCTGTTCTCAATAAACATACTATTTATTCAACAATGGTAATGACTAAGAGAATTTAATACTTGAGGGATGATTAGCACTCTCCCTCTCATAACCAAATCCTAACTGTGATTGCCAACACACTTGCCAAGCGTGGTAACTACTAGAAAATCCCCCCTCATGGGATGTGTTGTAAGGCAAGTTGTAGAGGCTAAATAAAGGAAAGAAAATAATAATGAAATATCTATATGTTTACTGTAGGAGTACAAACCTCCTTATGAGGCTGTTAAAAGAATTATATATAAAAACTATTGTGACATTTATGACAAATGGATTACATTATAAACTTTTGCTATGAATCAATCTGTGTTTTAATATACGATAATACAACATTTCTGGCGACGAGATGTCGTTCGAAAAATTTCAATTCGATATATTTAACAATAAAAATGAAGATTGGGATTATTATATACAACGATTTGAGATCGAATTACAACTTCATGGACTTGATGGCGAAGAAACAGAAAACAAACGTAAAAAAATATTCCTCTCACGGATCGGACCAGCCGCCTTCAAGGTATTAGTGGACTATTTTCGGCCTATACCAGTAACAACAAAAACATATACAGAACTCAAAGATGTATTAAACGAATATTACGGAAAGAAAACATATGTTCTTTCAGAAAGAGTAACCTTCGCTACCAGATACCGGCAAACTAATGAAACTATTTCACAGTTTATCTTAGAACTTCGTTCACTAGCTGGATACTGTGAATTCGGAAATACCTTAGAGGAACGCATTAGAGATCAACTGGTAATAGGAATTAACAACACAATGTGGCAACAAGAACTTATCAAACAACATCCAACAAATAGTGCAAAGCTTACTGACATTATAGCTACGGCTAATAAATTAGAACAAGCAGAGATCCAAACGCAACGTCTATCGAATAGTTTTCAAACAAATACGGACCCACAAAACATCAATAAATTGAAAACAAGAAATTATCAAAAAACAAATGAAACTAATAATAACACAAAATGTATATTCTGTGGCAGAGACTTTCACAGAAATATGAACGACTGTCCCGCAAGAGGCAAACGATGTAGCGCCTGCGGGAAACAAAATCATTTCTCTTCAGTTTGTATAACTAGTGGACGGCTCAAAATAAAAAAAATTAGAAATACTAGACTTATAGCCACAAATAGTCATATGGAACAACAAAACAACAATGAAAACGAAAATTCTGATAATGAAAGTGTTCAGACATATGCCATTAGCCTTTATAACAAAGTCAGTAAAGTCATGATTCCAACTCTACTTAACAATAAAAATGTGGAAATGCTGTATGATCCAGGAGCAGTACATTCTGTAATTGGTGTAAAACTATGGAAGGCCATAGGATGTCCCAAATTGCAAAAATGTAAAAATCTGATTGCTTACACAGATGTACAAATTGAAACATTAGGAATGTGTCCTATAAAAGTCAAAGCCTTTAATGCGGAGAAAATATTGACAGCTTATGTTACTCAACAAAATGACATTCCGCTTTTTGGATTAAACTGGTGTATTAAATTTAAATTGCCAATGCCACCGGGTGCCAGACTTTGTAATATAAAAGATGGTTTACATCCAACAACAGAAAGAATCGAAGCCATAAAGAAAATGCCCCTTCCGACTAATACAACCGAACTTCGTGCCTTCTTAGGTTCGATAACCTATTATGGGCGTTTTATAAATAATTTACACATGCGATGCGCCCCACTTTACAGACACTTAGAAAAGAATGAAAGATGGGCGTGGACTGAAGATGACACAAACATAGTAAATGAATTAAAAAACATTCTAACATCCAGTGACACTCTCACTCATTATAACGGCAATGAACCCATCTATGTGAGTAGTGATGCTTCAGACAAAGGTGTGGGCGCAGTGCTATTCCACAAGATAAATAACGTAATGAAGCCAGTAGCATATGCATCGAGAACACTATCGGATATCGAGAAACGATATTCTACCATAGATAGAGAAGCGCTTGGAATAGTATACGCTGTAACAAAATTCCATCAATACTTGTATGGTAGAAAGTTCACCTTACTTACTGATCATAAACCTCTTGAAAGAATCTTCAGTCAAAACAGAGAAACACCCAAAATAGCGAGCAACCGCTTACTTAGATGGGCGATGATACTCAACAGTTATGAGTATATAATACAATACCAATCAGCGAAAGAAAACACTCCAGCAGATGCATTATCAAGGTTACCATTGACCAATAGCGATACATCTTTAGAAGAGAGAACTGGACTACCCAATTTTGCACATTTACTACATCTGAGACTCAGTAACATTCCTGTAACGAAAAAAGAGTTAAGAAATCAAACTACTAAAGACAGAACCCTTAATAAAATTAAACAGTATTTAACATCACACTGGCCAGAAAAGAAAGACCTAAACAACGAGTTTCATACTTATTTCGAAAAAAGAAATGAAATGTCTTTCGAAGACGGTATCGTTTTGTGGAATGGGAGGTTATGTATGCCGAACACACTCAAACAATCCATCCTAGAAATGTTGCATGATGGGCATAATGGTACAACTGCCATGCAATCATTAGCTCGCCTCCACGTCTACTGGCCAAATATTGATAGAGATATTCTAGCTTTCTCAAAAAGATGTAATCTTTGCCAACAATCTAGGAATAACACCAGTAAACCTCCGGCATATCCGTGGGGTATACCAGAAGAGCCTTGGCACAGACTGCATATAGATTATGCAGGCCCTATTTACGGACACATGTGGCTAATAGTCATAGATGATTATTCAAAGTGGTTAGAAGTCATGCCTATGAAGTCATCAACATCCAAAGCAACTATAGTAAAATTAGATAACATATTTGCTACATTCGGCGTACCACGATATATTGTTACCGATAATGGTCCTCAGTTCACGTCAGATGAATTCCACGATTATTGTAAGAAGATCGGCATTACACATATTAAAACGACACCATACCACCCCAAAACAAACGGACTAGCCGAACGCGCTGTGCGCACTTTTAAAGAAAGAATGTTAGCCAGCGACAGAAGCATTGACTTGTATCAACGTTTATATAGCTTTCTTCGAGGATATAGAAACACCCCTCGTCGGTCGACTAACCGTTCACCATATGAAATGATGTTCGGAAGACCCATGCGTACAACCCTCCATCTTTTAAAACCAAACGTAAAAGAAAACCTGGAAAAAGCTAGGTTGTATCAACAATTTAGACCTTCTACTAAAGTGGTAGTACCTCCAACATATAGCCCTGGAGATAAAGTATGGGTAAATAAAACAACCGGCAAAGGCTCTGATCCTGGTATAATTACAAAATGCAACGGACCTTACTCTTATATAGTAGAGATGGCGGATGGAATACATAGACGCAAACATTCTGATCAGTTGCGTCCGAGGAATAACGGTTCAAATGATAACGTGGAAGTAAAACCCTTTACCTATTACAAACGCAACGTTAACGAGAGCAATTGGAGCGGTGATTGGGGGCAACAACCTACGCCTGCAGCTTCCACCAGTAGACAACACCCTGATGGTTCGCGACAACAGCCTACAGAAACGGCCACCGCATCAACCTCCCGAGCAGAGCCTGAGCTTGGTGTATCGATACAGTCACCACCGCAGCGGCGTTCTGAGCGAAAGAGGAAACCACCTGTACGTTTCGGGTACTAGAGCCATTTCCAATGATGGAGGGGGAGTAAATGTAGGAGTACAAACCTCCTTATGAGGCTGTTAAAAGAATTATATATAAAAACTATTGTGACATTTATGACAAATGGATTACATTATAAACTTTTGCTATGAATCAATCTGTGTTTTAATATACGATAATACAACATTTACTATAGTTAATATTGAAAAAAATCAATGTAATTGAATTAATTGTGATTATGCAACAATGAAGGCTATCATTGTTACTACAATTTTCACTATCTGTTTGACTGTTCCTTAAAATATTCCATAAATGTGTTTCTAATTTTTAAGTTCTTTAACTAATAAAAAATCACCTATATTTGAGCTGAATTTTTTGTAAATGCCATTAATATGTTTAATTGTGTACACATTGTATTATAAATATTACAGGAGCCACCAACAACAGGGACCAGTTCCCCTGGGTTAATGGGTACAACTTCTTTACTGCCGCCACCCATTTTAAGTGGTTTACCTCCATCAATTCCACCAGCAGTTGCAATGCCTCCAGTGCCAGGACTGCCACCAAACATGACGGGGATACCACCGCCTATGGGGTTCCCTCCAATGTTACCACCTTTCTCAATGCCTCCACCAGGATTTCCAAGTTTTAAACCTGTAAGTTTTTATTTAATTATACCTATAACACACATGTACACTCGTTTTGAAAAAAAGCAGGCATTTTACAGTAAGATAAAATATTCAGCATTATAATTTTTTTTAAACTATTCAATAGGAATTAAAGCTTTGTAGAAGTAATATTTATAATTGCAGTTTTAATTATTGACAATACTGTTAAAGAATGATCCTTATATTGTGTGAGTTAAGAAATGGTGAGTCTATCTATATATGCTGTGAGACCAATTTTAAAGAAATGAGAGGTATAAGGTTTAGCTTGCAGACTATCAGAAAGTTTTGATGTTATACATTCTATATTGAAAGTGGCTTCAAAACACTGTATATTTTTTTGTATCACAAAAGTGGCAAACAAGAATACAGTTATTCTGATGGTAAATGGTGACTGTATCCTACGGACGTCTGCAGCACTTTAGAGGTCACATACATCTTTGTGTATACCACTGTATGTGTCTACCAAAAAAAGGTACTCAATTGCAAGCTTATAAATAATAGGATTATTGTGAATCATAATTATTGTGGTTCACAAAGTGCTTCCTTCAGTGTCGTTATCATAATAACATTTGAGTCCTGTGGTAAAATCATTTATCCTTTATCTAAAAAAGCTTAATGTTGTAGTTTAATTTTCATGTAATATATTACCAAGTAGATATGCATATTTATTAACACTGTTACAATTAATGTGTCTAGTTTTAGTTCTACTTGATAAATTACTGAAATTTTGTTAATTTATTTGTATAATTGGGATATGTTTTTGAGTAATACTCTAATTTTTAAATTGATATTTTTTTTTTATTAAATTATCCAATAACTGTTAAGTTCTTCCTATGCTAGTATGTGTAATAATATAATCAGTGGAAAACTCTTGGAATTTTTAAATTTACAAATTAAAAGTTTATACTCTTAGTAAATAACATTGACTTCGAATTTTTTTTGCATAGACTATTGTTTTTTTACTATTTTTTAAAATAACTGTTTTTTAAAAAAGTTTTAGTTAAATAATTTTCACATATTCTTTTCATTAATGAATAAAATAATAGAGGGAGACTTTGTACAAAAGTCGATTGCTTGGGTCGATTGACCTCTGTCTCATTCATGTTTCAACCGTGAAGCAGCTGTGTTTGCATGTCTGTTTTTCGGTTTGAAGGGTGGGATATGGCGTGAATTTACTGGGTACAGAGGAATAACACCTGAATCCTCAGCAAAGGCAACGCGCGGGGGGGGGGGGGGTATCATGGGCGAAACAGTATACTCTGTTATGTCCATGCTACTGCTCATGTCTATAGGCGACGGTTACCACTTTCCATCAGGTGGACCGTCAGCTTGTTTGCCATTCTAAGTTGTATAAAAAAAATAGTTCTCAAATTATTTATATTTCAGGAATTAAATGCTCCCGCTCCTGATATAGCTCCAATGGCCAATCAGAGCAGTCCTTGGTCAGAACACAAGGCTCCTGATGGTCGTACATATTATTACAATTCTGTTACCAAACAAAGTCTTTGGGAGAAACCGGATGATTTGAAAACACCTGCTGAAGTTAGTACTAGTTTAAATAATAGAACTTCTTTTAAATTCCATATATTAGAATTTAAAGGTTATATTCATGTAAAATAAAAATGTTTAATAATCTTAGTACATAAAAATTGGTAAGATTAACTTACTATACATTTGTAATACAGAACAATATCATTTGCAGTACAGAACTCTACACTAGTACCTACCAGTATGACATGAATATAATGATAGATAATATTACAGTATTATTTATTCTCATGGTGTGATTACCTTCGCACTAGCACTCATTGGAGACTGTATCGCTCTTGAAAATCTAAGCTTTATCAGTACCTAATGTTGCCACTATATTTTTAAATTGTAGAAACTTCTATCATCATGTGTATGGAAAGAGTATACAACAGATGCTGGAAGAGTTTATTATCACAATATAGAAACAAAGGAATCTAGTTGGGTGATCCCTAAAGAGCTTCAGGAGATCAAAGATAAAATAGCTGCTGAGGAAGTTGCACAGTGAGTATTATTTTCGTAACACACATACAGATAATATAGAAACAAGTTTATTTAAAAACAAAATAATTATACCTGATCATTATTATTTAGTTTTTTTCTTTTTCAATTCTAATTTCCTTGTTCAAGGTTTAAGTAATAACATTTTTAGAATGCTATTTTTATTTTTAACAAATTGTATTATGATAGTGACCCGGTTTCGCATGGGTATTATTTTTTTTGTTTAATAAAATACAGCCTATGTTACTCTCTGATAATGTAGCTTTTTATAGGTAAAAGAATTTTTAAATGATTTTATTATTTTTGAGTATATTTATTACAAACAAATTTCTTTTTTATAATGTTAGTTTAGAATAACTATTTAAAACTCATCTAAAATATATATTGATATTACAGAGCAGCTCTGAATGGTGACCTTCCGCCAGGTGAAGTGCCTCTACCGGGCTCTCCTGCCGTAGCGAGCTCGGGCGGCAGTTCTGCTTTAGATGAGGCTATGGCTAAAACATTAGCAGCTATTGATCCTACGCTTGCCAATTCCATCCCAATTCCAGAAGATAGTGAGTTGAAATTCTTTTTTTGTACTGTGTATTTGCTTGTAGTCTAATATTAATAAATTATTTAATATTTATTTGCAAATTTCATGGACAGTTGTACCTGAAGAAATAACAGCACCACCACAAGGCACTGTAACTGATGAAATTGAAAAACCACCTGAAACACAATATAAAGATAAGAAAGAAGCCATAGAAGCTTTCAAGGAGCTATTGAAAGATAAAGTAAGTAAAGTTCAAATCAAAATAAACAGTTAACCATTTTCATATTATTTTAATTTTGATACTATTTCACAATATAAATTGCTGAACCAAAGAGCAATTGTTGGGAAAACAAAATTTATCTGTAGAAACACAATCTCGCCTTTTATTTGCGAATTTAAATGTTCTAAGGAGGCAGATGTATTAATTTACGGAATATTTCAACTTTGTTGGTTTGTTTCATTATCAAGTGTTATCGCATTTTTTTTTATTCAGTATTAATTTCTTAAAGCTAATATTGAAAAAGTGAATAAACCAATTAAAAAAAAAATGTGAGATTACAACATGTACAAGTTTTATTAAAATTGGCTTGTGATGAATTCCATATTAATTAGTGCATGCTTTATCAAGTAAATCATGAAATATTTATATCCAGAACACCGCCTGAAATTGTATAAAGCTCAAGTGAGGTCACATATGGAATACTGTTCGCATTCAAAGTCGGGCAGCTCGAATTGTTAACGATTGGCGCCTTACTATTCGTCATGAAGAGTGCTCTGAGGAATTGTTCGGATTAATACCTGCTGCTGATTTTCACCATCGTATAACCTGCCATAAACTAAAATTTCATCCCAACCATCTGGACGAGTAGCGGTCCTCCACCGTGCGTTTTTCAAGGCACTTTGTTCCACGCACAACCATTCTTTGGATTGAACTTGCAGCATCAGTATTTCCGAACCGATACGACATCATAACCTTCAAGAAAAAAGCATATTCCCTTTTAAAAGGCCGGCAGCACACCTGCAATGCCGTTAGTGTTGTGGGTGATCATGGACGGCGATAATCACTTACCATCAGGTGAGCCGTATGCTGGTTTGCCCCCTGTGTTGTAAAAATAAAAATATACTTTCAGCTCTTTATTGCGTGGAATCGCATAAAATATAAAGGTCTTGATGAATTAATTTTAGTTTTTTTTGTCACTCGCATAATATATTTATGAATTATATAAAATACAAATACATATATTTTGCTATTTATATAGCTTTGATACACAAAAATTTTAAATGTATTTCATTGCAAAAATAATGACTTGTTTGATTTACATGTGTTTATGGCTACAATGCTCAATTAGTTTTGAGCCCATTTGGGACTCCTAATCATGAGTGGCTGTGACACGAGTAACTGAATCATCGTAACTCATGATTTCAACAAAAATACACGAGAATTAATCCAGTTATTATTTTTGCAATAAAAAATAATGTGTACTTGTGAATTTCTCTCTTGAGTTTTGTATCAATTAACCATGAATGACTAATATAATATGAATGAATGCTATAATAATGTATCAATTTCATCTAGAATGTACCATCAAATGCCACTTGGGAGCAGTGTGTCAAGATTATATCAAAAGATCCCCGATACGCAACTTTCAAGAAGCTCAATGAAAAAAAACAGGCTTTTAATGCCTACAAAACCCAAAAGCTAAAGGATGAAAGGGAGGAACAAAGGTAATATTCATGGTTTCATACCAAGGCCTCTTCCTAAACTGATACACTTAATACTTTTAAGTAATTTAAATACTTTTTTTTATGCAATTTAAAGTGGCAAACAGGCTGCTGGCCAGCCTGAGGGGTAACTGTCACTTATGGACATGCACAGTACAATGGATATGATAGAGTATACTGTAACACCCATAATATGCTTCATTTGTTGTCATTTCTGAGAACTAAGGTGCTATGTCTCTGTATTCAGTAATATCATTGCCATATCATACACTTGAAACTGAAACACAGCCATACAAACACAAATTTTCACTGCAAAAAATGAGACAGAGGTACCCAAGCAGATGACTTGTTGTCTGAGGGATCTAATAAATGCATAAAGTATCATCAAGTTATATTAATCACATTGACATGATTTAATACAGATTAAAGACCAAGAAAAACCGTGAAAATTTAGAAGAATTTCTGTTGACATGCGATAGAGTAACTTCCCTTACCAAATATTACAAATGTGAGGAGATGTTTGGTAATCTTGAGGTGAGTGAACGGGATATCTTTTATATCTAATTCCAAGAAATTAGTAATGCCCCTTAAAGAAGAAGTGTGGAGATCTGTATACTCCTCCTAAGATCGAGTATGATATGATAATCGAATTTCTAAATTTAATAGATCACATTTACGTTGATTTTTATTAATAATACATATATTTTTAAATATTAGAATCTTAAAGTGTTTAACAATACTCATATAAGCTGTGTATTTGTATGAATTAGGTAGACATTTAATTTATGAAATAACAAAATGCATATTTAAAACAAACCAAACGTAATTAATGATTATCTGTTACTATATAATAAACCATTCACTTTTCATCATTTATTATAACTACTAAATATATGTCTTGTAATTCTATAATATATGTATATTAGATTTGGCGGTGTGTTCCTGAATCTGACCGTAGAGATATATTTGAAGATAGCATATTTACAATTAGCAAACGGGAGAAGGAAGAAGCGAAAGCTTTGAAAAAACGGAACATGAAAATGTTGACACAAGTAAGTTGTAATTTTGAACCTTAATTAATATAGTAATAGTACCTATTATATCTAAGAAATAAATATATAATTTTAACGCGCATTTGTATATTATTATTGAATCCACGAGAGTATCGGTTTTACTTGGATATTTATCATATGACAGAAATAAATAAATAAGAATAAGACATGAAGGTTTAGATATAAAAATACATAAAGAAGAGATGTAATCATGGAAGAAGGTATACTTGGTTCTCTGCCTACTTCTGGAACTGGCGTGAAGGTAGAATAGTTGTTACTAAATTTACTAAGAAATACAACAGGATTAACCCTTTTTATTCATAAAAACTTGAAACGTCTAGTAAATATTTTTCAGCTATTGAAATACTTTGTCTGTTTCTTTGTGCTAAATTCTCAATTAAAAAAAAGCGATAAAACACTCTGAGAATTAAAATAGGTTAATATGTTTATGAATGGAATAATAACACTATTAGTATGTAAGTACATTGGTTATAAAATTAAATACGATTGTATAATCATTTGTTACGCTCAGGTATTAGAGAACATGAATGAAATTACTTATAGCAGCACTTGGAGTGAAGCGCAAGTTTTACTATTAGAAAATTCTGCCTTCAAAAATGATGTAAGTTTATTGGGAATGGATAAGGAAGACGCATTAATAGGTATGATTATCTATAATTTAATTTTTTTAAACAAACTTTATTAATACCGTTTAATTTTGTTACTAATAAGAAATTTCATTTTCAGTTTTTGAACAGCATATTAGAAATTTAGAAGCTGAATATCTACAGGAGAGAGAACAAATAAAAAAGCGAAATAAGCGGCAACAAAGAAAAAATAGAGACAATTTTTTGGTAAGAGATTCTCATTTTTAAATCTTTGCTTTTGTCATTTTACTGTAAGTTCTATTCTTCTGTCACGCTTATTTTGGTTAAACTTATGTATAGAACATTTATAAATTAGACAGACTGTTTATTGATAAAAAAAATTAAGTATATTTTTTTAATGCAAGTAGTTTTTATTTTTTGGTTCTAAAAAGAAAAAAAATAGTAAAATGAAACAGGTATGAGACTCACACCATTCATTAATAATAGTTTCTTAGAATCTTAAATACTTTATATTTTTATAGGAATACAAAACAGATCCATTAAACAACTTTCATTTTAGAATTTGTTCACAACCAATCTTATAACTGTTTACCACTACAATTATAGCCTCATAACAATATAAATTAATTTACAGAAGTTTGGTAAGAAAATTCAATTACTGTTTTATTATTCTTAATTTGTTAATGTCATCTATGTTTTAACTGACAAATATGTTATCTTTTACAGACTTTACTTGATAGTCTCCATGAAGAAGGCAAACTTACCTCTATGTCCTTATGGGTAGAATTATATCCGGTTATATCTGCAGACATTCGTTTCTCAGCCATGCTTGGTATGTATTGTTGAATAAGGTTACAGTTCCCTTTTTAATATTGTCCTATCTTTTATTATTGTTATTATTATCTATACTAAAATTATAAAGAAAAACGATTTGATCCGTTTGTTTGTTTGTAAAGACTAAACTCAAAAATTACTCAATTGATTTTAAAAATTCTTTCACCTATAGAAAGCTACATTATCAGCGGGTTATAGATTATTTTCGATATTAGCGTGCGGAGCTAGATCGGATCGCCAGTAATTTTTAAAAACACGTCTGTATTAATACATTGTATCATTACACCATTATTTACCAGAGGGAGACTTTGAACAAAAGTTGATTGCTTGGGTACCTCTGTCCCATTCGTGTTTCAACCGTGAAGCAGTTGTGTTTGCATGGCTGTGTTTCGGTTTGAAGGGTGGGATATGGCGTGAATTTACTGGGTACGGAGGAATAACACCTGAATCCTCAGGAATGGCAACGCATGGGGAGTATCATGGGCGAAACAGTATACTCTGTTATGTCCATGGTACTGCTCATGTCTATAGGCGACAGTTACCACTTTACATCAGGTGTGCCGTCAGCTTGTTTGCCATTCTAAGTTGTATAAAAAAAAAAAACACACCATTTAATGAAATATTCTCAGAGACATACTATTACTTTTTTTTTTTCACTTCTATGTACAGGTCAAAGCGGATCTACCCCATTAGATCTATTCAAGTTTTATGTAGAAAACTTAAAGGCTCGTTTCCATGACGAAAAGAAAGTAATTAAGGAGATATTGAAAGAGAAAGAGTTTGAAGTAAAACCTGATACAACATTCGAAGAGTTTGCTACGGTTGTGTGCGAGGACAGCAAATCGGCATCACTTGATGCTGGCAACGTTAAACTTACGTACAACTCACTTCTAGAGAAGGTTATTTCAATTTTATTTTGTTTCATATGAAAACAGTTTTTTTCAGCTTTATCCTATAGAATGAGTAGTAATGGTACACCGGAACGAAAATTCGCTGCATAGGTATAAAATAGTCTTAATTTTTACTATTATGAGTTTAACAGAATAAGAAATTGTAAGTAGATTTGGTAATGTACTGTTGATTTTTATGCATATTGTTGCCTTAATGATTTAATCAATTGTCTGGAAATTTCGTATACACACTATTTGGTATGAAGAAATGCGTATACTTATTACGCGAACAGAGTCGCAGACTTATCTAGTAAAAAATTGGATTATTAATTAAATTTACTATTTATTATATCCGAGTGTGTATTTTTATTATTCTGTTTTTTTTTTTTTTTTTTAAAATAGGCGGAAGCAAAGAATAAAGAAAAAATGAAAGAAGAGTCGAAGGCACAGAAAAAAATTGAGAGTGCTTTCAAATGGGCATTAACTGACGCCAATGTGGATCATCAACTGTCGTGGAGTGAGGTCAAGGAGAAATTGGATCTTACGGCGGCTGAGTTCGCGGCCGTTCCAAATGAGGAAGATCGTATTAGAATATACAAGGTAAGAACAGCAGAAAATCATTCAATGAAGAAGCAATATTAGTGCTTCTTTTATGATAGTCTTTTCTTTCTCGCTAATCCATATTATTAGTCTGTGGGTCGAAATAGAGTAGTTCCACTTGGTTAGATAATACCATTTTACCCATTTCCGGTTTCACGAGAAAATTTGCCTTGACATTGTGTGTAATTATGGTCAAAAATACATTTATATATACAATAGGAGCCACAGATAGCCCTCTATGTCAAGGCTGTTTTGACGTCGAAGAAACGGCTGCTTACGTATCCTCAGAATAGTGAGGTCACTCTGTGAGGTCTGTGAAAACTTCTAGAAGCTTCTGTATTTCTGGGTGGAGTTGAGCTGGCTATACTAGCCATGACTCATACGCAGAACGGCCCAAATGAGAAGCTAAGCGCGAAAAAGAGCCCTATTTAATGTAAATTATTTGCCATTCTAAGTTGTATGTATATATATATATATATATATATATACACATTACGCTCAAAAATACATAACGCTTTCATAAATTAAATACTGCTATAATTATTATTAGTGTATGTATGTGTATACTGGCTGTTTGGCTTTACACGGTTGTACTACTAATGAAGAAAATATATTTTTTTTTGTTTATTATCTTTCATACAATCCTTGTCCGGGTAATTATAAACAAAAAAAAATCATATAGGTGCATCCATTCTGCTGAAATGATCCGCTTATATACACTAGAGGAAAAAATTAAGGGATAAAAAATAATCCAATTTTTTTGAGGTTTTTCAAGCTTTTTGAGCTCGTTTGTTTAATTCGTATCTCGGCTATATATTGTCTTTTTTCAGTCATTTTTTTAGCTAATTCTCTAATAATATAGAAATTACCAATAGTATAAAAATCTTTGAATTATTTATTACTATTTGTTTGTTTATAAATACTATGTTGTAATAGGACTACCAACATGAACAAGAGGAGAGTTGCATGCATTATCATCATCCAAAACCACGAAAATCGAAGAGGTCCAAGAAGAAGAAGCGTTCACAAACGTTTTCTACATCATTGGTAAGTGCTAGCACTATTGTCATCTTTACCAACAATTTTGTTGTCATTATCAGACCATTTATTTTAGTAACTTCGTCTGCCTGCAGTGTTTCTTCTATTCTCGTAGAATCACTGGAATGTTAGAATTCTTATTTGTTACTATCAATAATATGAAAAATTATTGTGATTTAGTCGAAGTCGAGATCACCTTCCCCTTCACCGGCGGCACATTCTCCGTCGCCTGCACCCAGCCACGCTACTTGGTCCTCCGAGGAAGGCCGCAAGCACAAAAAATCCAAAAAGAAACACCGTAAACATTCTCCAGTTCCGGTAAGTACATGTCATTTTTTAATGGTAAAGTGATAGACACTTTTAAAGCTTTTGTAGTAAAAAACCAAACCAATTGTATATTGTATTGTCGCAGCAACATCAGTTTATTAATTTGTAAACCTATTGATGCAGTTTATTTTATATTTTTTTCTTTTTTTTTATAAAGTATTAATATTTGCATGCCTACATCGCTTAAGGCGATTAAACAGGTGCCAAATTTAATATTACGTGATCTTTGTTAATAATTTTAAGATTGTTTAATGCAAATAAACTAATTTTATTCATTTCATTCCATTCATTTCATTTTTAAAATGATTTTATAATTTTCAGTTTCTTGTATAGTTCAGGAATAAGCTATAGGCTAATAGGCTAAGATCATTGTCGTGCTAAAATCGACGTATACTTATATTACAATTACTTTATATACTATTATAGTCATGATGTAATGATCACATTTATAATTATTTTCATGTACCACCACAAATTTATGTATCACCATCTTAACAATTTTTGTCGTGATTCATTTGACAACTATTGAGATGAAAAAGTTGTGTTTGATTCTGATAAAAGCTATAAAACTAAATTACAGAAGAAATGTTTTGTCTCAAAATATAATTATGTTGAGTCTACTCTTATTAATTAAATTATTAAATCTATCAAAATTTAATGTTCATAATTAACCATTTCGATTTGTGTTATAATAGTAAAGGAAATTTCAAATAAAGTTTGGTTCGTAAATGTTTAAATTTTTTTTATTAATATAATAATGGCTGTCTATGTGGGAGGCCTATGTTTAGCAGTAGACCTAATATTATACTTATTTTGTTCAGCACTTTCATATCGATTTAACGTTACATGATTTATTTCAAGAAATCTCCAACACCAGAGGAAGGTGGTATATCGGACGAGGAACCTGTGCGACATAAGAGCAAAAAATCGAAACGTAGTGCACCCAGTAGTCCTGAAGCTGATCAAGAACACGAACATGCACACAAGCCAAAAAAAAAGAAGGAGAAAAAAGAGAAAAAGGAAAGGTATATATGGTTATAAAATTTATTTTAGTGTTTAGTAAATATAAGCAAAAGATTGGTTTAAAATAAACATTAAATCAAATTTTATTTTGTAAACAAATATCTATGAAAATTAAAACAGTGATTCATTTTTTTTTTATAATCTTTTATAAGTAACTAGCGACCCGTCCCGGCTTCGCACCGGTGGACATTTTTACAACATTTTACATTTTTATCTGTACCTACCTAGCTACCTATTTCATAGATGTGCCCGCCCCCACCTGCCCCTCTTCCGCACCTCTAAAATAGGTACGGATAACAAGTACAACGCGACAGCGTTATTTTTTCTATTTCTATGAATTATTAAATTCGTAATATTTATTGAATGGAATAACCGGTTTGAACAATATGTTTAAAAATATAAACAAAAAGCAGTAATTATCGCTGACAATTTGCGTTAATCGAAGCACGACCAAAATGAAATGACCGCATGAACTACGTAACAACATGCTTGTACTGTCAACATTGAAAAGTTTTAATTTTACAGCACAATCCCCATTTAAAAAAGAAAGTTTGAATTTGACACAAAAATCCCCATTAACAAAATGATCCGCCATTTATTGAATTTATTTGTTACAAAAAATGTGATAAATGAAGAACCACTCGACCGATTTTGTGCAAACTTCACATAAATCATCTACTAAATAGTCCGAACAAAGCCTAAACATTTGGTTTGGATAGGTAACTCAAGAACGGGCGTTCTTGAGTTATAAAATTACAACGAAAAGTGGCATTAATTTTTATATATATAGATAAAGATTTTGCAAATCTTGCTGCATGGATTCAATCAATGTCATTTTGTTTATGTCTAATGATCTAATTCTATTTAGTTTTCACGATGTCTTGAATACTTATTAAATTGTACTTGACCACTGGGTTGCAAAATTTACAGTGAAATGCTGTTATTTAACTGTGTTTACTTTGTACGATAGATTTGAATATATCTTTTTTGTAGGTCGACCGGATCGGCTGCATGGAGTGACGCCGAACTGGAGTCGCAGCGCGCTGCTCTGCTGGCTCAGCTGCACGAACACGAAGCCGACTGACGTTGCCTTCCTCACATACACATATTCAACAATTACCCGCGCCCTGGACAGCGAAAGATTTCACCCACACCCGTTCTCATGTTACCGGATATTGTTCATTTCAATTCTTCTACTTCACCCGTTCAAACAAACACAAATGAATGTGACAAAGAATATTATGTTACAGCTACAATATAATTAATATATGGATACAATGTCAAACGTATTTAAATGTAGAACATGTGTGTCTTAATGTAATATTACCAGACTGTATATACACTTATGATGGATATAGTTATTTTCTTACATCATCCACATCATATTAGCCGTTTTAATCCACTGCTGAACGTAGGCCTCTCTCATTTGAGGGGGGTTTTACTAGTTGCCATACTTGGCAGGCAGGTTGGTAGCCGCAGTCAGGCTTTTTGTGATGTTTTAAAATTAACGATGCCCATCCCTCAACATTATGTACACTTAGTCGCCTCTTACAATACCGACAGAAAAAGAAGGGAGAAGTTGCTCTCTTTAAATGCAGAAAACAGTGTTGTCCACATCTGTCTCTTTCTCTGCTTACTTCGTCTTTAGATATATTTTTTACAGAAGATTTTTATGTAAATCCTAATATGCGCATTGAACAAATTTGGATTACATATAACATATGCATATATGTTATATGTAATAATCCAAATTTCTTCAATTCAACCCTAAGAAGACAAATCTGCACATTCACCGTTTCATTTATTATTTTCGACTTAAATTGTAAAATGATTTACATACCACACTCAATAGAAAGTTTGATGGCAATGCAGAACAGAGATACCCACTAAGGAATTCCAGATTTTTTGCTTGAGATGGCAAAATTAATTTTTTTTTATTATATTAAAAATATTAGTTATAATTCTATATAGTTATAATAATATTTTTACTAAAATTACTGCTATGTTGCTATTGTTATATCATACATACTTTGTTATGTCCATGGTACTGCTCATGTCTATAGGCGACGGTTACCACTTTCCATCAGGTGGGCCGTCAGCTTGTTTGCCATTCTAAGTTGTATAAAAAAAAAATATTCCATTTAGAAACTACTTATATACGTTTTTGTTATTGTCGCAATTAGGAGATTGACATGGCTATTATGTTCGATATAAAATAATAAAATTAGCTTTTTGTGTATTGACTCAAATTTTTAACGAGCATATGTGCCTTGTTTATCCTGTAATTTAAGATCGTGAAGTAGTAAGATATGTGGACATAAATAAAAGTGTATGTTCCTTAATGGGCATGGTTAACAAAATATGTAAGTTTTTTAAATAATTATGTTACAAACTTAAAGGTATGAATTACACAAATATGTATAATAATTTATAATATATTAAGTTTTCAGATCATAATCGCAGTATTCTAATCACTGATAGAAACCGTGATATTGGCAAAATAGCTACTATATATAATAAATTATAGCTACTTGTTTGGATTTTATTTCAGGTCCTTCATAGCTTTGTTGGTCTATGTTAGTATTAGTTTATCAATGTTTGGCCTTCGGCAACGTTTAAATAGATAAATATATAGAATCCGGAAACAGAACTGTACGAATCAATAGTCTGAAGCAGCACTGTAAATAGCAGGAGAGTAGGTTTTTTAGGGTTCCGTACCTAAAGTACGTTAAATACCATAAAAATTTAATGGCACATGCTGAAAAAATGCACTCATTAATATTTGCCATTGAATATTTTCTGTGTTTAAAATATAACCAAGCACAAGGGAATTTCCCTCAGTTATCTTTTCCACCATTGTGCAGGGAAGATAACTCATTAGCTCTGAACACCGAAACAAAGGCCGGTCTCCTAGGATCCCTCTGCATCTAACTCTACATTGGATGACGGAGAGAAATACCGCCGACCATTCCGCGTTATAAGAGCTCTATGATATTTTTACGATATTTTAAATGAAGGCATATAAAGATAGTAGTATAGTGGTACAACAATAAAAATCCATTTATTTCAATATTGTTACTTTGAAAAGGTAACATGCAATTTATTTTCCAGATTTCGTAGATATAAGGCCATTGTCACTGTCGTGTGATTCCGGCATAGAATGGGCCACTCCTTCCTTTTCCATAGGTTTTTAAAAGTACGTATTGTCCTTTGCTAATTCGTGGTCGTAAATTTTATAGTAAAAAAAAAAAAAGGTTTTAAGACCTATTTTGTGCTTGTGGTAACATTAATCTATGATAGTCTCTCTACTCTATGTATTGCCGAACTGTTGAATTAATCTTTCTCTTTGTTTTGTTCTTAAATTTTTCTTATATGTTATTGTTTATTAGATATTGATCGTATTTTAAAATATGCAATAATTTTGATTGCTACTCGGGTACTTTACTACTTATATTGTACAAAATAGAATATTTTTACTGCCTATTGCTTTTTTGATTCTGAAGAGACAATGTTTTGCGCTGTAACTGGAGTATAAAGACTAAATATTAGTGATTAACAAAATGTCACTCTGGAATTTGAGCAAAAACGATAATAATTCATCTTTTTTACCCGATTTTCCTAGAAAATCATATACCAAAATTGATCCAATTGGTAAATTACATGTTATTCACGCTCTTGATAATGGTCAATCTAAAGCTGATATTGCTCGAGAATATGGTGTACATCCGCAAACAATCGCATATATTTATAAGCAAAAGGAATCGCTAATTAAAAAGTACACAAAAAAGTATAACCTTCTTAAAGAAGTATGTTGCGTTAATCTGGATCATACACTAATGGAATGGCTTGAACTTCAAATAAAAAATGGGCAATTTGTTAAGGAGCAACAGTTACGTGATAGAGCTCAAGAGATAGTCTCAACACTGACTGAAGACTTCAATTGCATTGATGACTGGTTACTGGATTTTCGTGTACGGCATAATATTTTAAAATTTAAGTCTGATATACAATGCAGTATAAAGGCTAAAGAAGAATGGGTAGATTTTATAAATGATTTAGATATAAAGGATCTATATATTGGTGGGGTAACTGCTTTATATCACAACCTGGATTTTGAAAGTTTTGTTAATGATCAAGATATAGATAATTATGTATCACTGATGTGTATAGTTCATTGTTTAGGATCAGAGAAAAAGGAATTGGCAGTAATTGGTAAAGAAATGATAGATGAAGAATTTAATGTCAAAAGTCTCCCAGTAAATTATTATTGTGATCATAGTGCACAAATGACTTATACTGCAATTAATAATTATCTTAAACAGTGGGATGAAATACTTACTTCTAAGGGCAAGACTGTATTACTAGCTCTAAATATACCAGGGAGCTTGATACAGAAAGAAACTTTTACTAGCATAAGGATGATTGACTCAACCAGCCATATGTTTATATCAAAGGCATTAGACAAGTTATTTGAATGTTTTAAATTCAATTACAGGAGATTACAAATAACAAAAAAAGTTACTTATGGCTCATGCCAATTATCTTTGTTGGATTGTATTAACATGATGAGTATGGCTTGGTTTTGTGTTTCAAATAGATATATAAATCAACTATTCTTCCCACCAGAGGATGGGAGTCTGTACTTTGAACGTAATGATTACAGCAGTGGTGACCACAGTTTGTCTCAATGGTGTAAAATGTTTAATATACCATTTAATTTTGAATTGTATTCAAACTTATTGGACAAGTATGTTTCTTGTGATAAGTCATTAAAATGTTTGAATTTAGTGCAAACTAATGATAGTACACAAAACATTACCGAGCTTCTATCACAAAACAAATTACAATCTGCATCTGGGATAGAAGCATATCAGGCTATGAAAAGGCTAGTGTCTTATTTGCAAGGTGAGAGTGCAAATCCATCTGAGATGGCTTCTGCAAAATATTTAGAAAGTCATACTGAATTTGGTGCTCTCTTAGAAATACATCAATTTGTTGCTAGTAACAATGAATCAGAATTAAATATAGGCATTGAATAATGTGTTTTAAAAGTAGGTTCACTATGTAATTAAGGTCAGTGATTTGTAGATATGCAGATTTGATTAAGAGTTTGAAATAATTAAGCATCATAATAATATGATGCCTCTCTCTATAGATGTCACAAACATTGGTGTACTGCACATAGCAGAAAACTGCTTGAAACCTGAGCTGGTCAAGGTCTACCTGATCCTCCATTAAACATGCCTAATCACCAATATATTGTATGTTACTGCTGACTAAAAATACATTACAACTGTATTTGAATTAAATAATATTTTTATAATATAAACCTATTATAGTATCTAGCTAGAAACTGAAGTTAATAACTGTTAAAAATACTCTGGACAATTTCATCTGGAATTATAGTTAGGAGCAAACTGCTTAATCTCAATTTTTTCAAAAAGTATATTTTGGGGGAATATTCTCATTAATGTGCATGTGTAGTTAAAAGAGCTAATTTAGATTTTAATATTATTTTGCATTTACAATAAAAATTTTAGAAATAAAACACTTGGATTTTTGTAAAATAGTAGTATAAATAATTTAATGAAGTACTTAAAGATACATTAATTATTATATATATATATATATTCTTTATTGCACTAAAACACACAGTAACAACAATAAGTTAATAGCAATGTTAGCAAAGGCGAACTTATATCTAAAAGAGATTTTTCCAGTCAATCTAACACATTGGCATAGGAAGTAGTGAGTTGCACAGTAATAGTGCAAAAGGAAAATTAAAATAAATATTTACATATATATATATATATATATATATATATATATATATATATATATATATTTATATTTAAAAGATACATAATTTATAGATTAATGTTATAGTAATATACTAATGACAAATATAGTGGGCATTTTATCACTTGGTTTCAGTATATACCTAGTGTCTTTTATATAACTTATATATATATTAATTTTATCTAAAAAATATTCTTGCACTAGTGAGGCTGTAATAAAGAAGTTTATATTCTTGTTCAACAGTCTTTAATTTTTTTTCAGTAAGTGCCAATGCTTGTTGTAATTGCACAGATCCTTTATTCTTTTGGTCTTCCACTAGATTTCTTTCATCTTGAATATGTTTCCAAACAGATTCAAACCAATGCAGGGATTCAAAATTGCAGTCCTGAAACATTTTTATATAAGTAGGCACTATTTTATTATATATTTTTTAATATTCTCGTAAACAGTAATTAATACATATACATAATTAGTTGCATTCCATGGCTGCGCACGGGTGAATCAGTATATACTTAAAGTATCTTATGTGCTAAATTAGAATATAACCTACCCGTGTGTCAAATTTCGTTCAAATCCGTTCAGTAGTTTTTGCGTGAAAAAGTAAAAAACTTGCATTCATCCATCGTTACAAACTTTCGCATTTATTAAATTAATAATATCCAACCGAAACTGGTTTCATGGCCGAAACTGAATCTTTTTTGAAGCGGTTCTGTACAATTTTAAAATTTTAGTTAATTTTAAGTTATTTAAAAAAACTGTAGTGTATAAAATATAGCCTAATGCTAATAATGTAGCCTTTTATAGTGAAAGTATTTTTAAAAATTGTTTAGTTGTTTTTGAGTTTATTCATTATAAACAATCAAACTTTTCTTCTTTATAATGTAACTAGCTGATTCGGTAAATGTTGTTTTACCATATACATTATTTCTAGAACTACACATGAAAATTTATCGTACTACAATTATTATATTCGATTGCTATCTTGTAACCCTATTGCAGAATATAAAAATCGCGATTAAAAATAGGGGTTGATCGTAAAAGGTGAAAATTTGAAGTATGAGTGTACTTCAAATTTGCAGATATGAATTTGGAATTCAATTCTCGAGATATAATAGAAGAAGCAGTGACAATATTTACCTGATCTAGTAATTTCAATATGTAAGCAACACCCATAGCAAAGCCATCGTCTGTAAATGCGGCTCCAACTTTATTTTTCTTCGTCATTTTATCCTTTGATAAAATCATGTGTTCTATGAAGTTCAAAGTTAAAGGAGGTACAATTATGTAAAAGTTTTTAAGATGGACATTTTTTGGGTTTCTGAATACTGGAGCAAAGACATCTACAAGCAATTTGAAATATTCTGTGCCTTGTATGAAATTTGAAATTAAATCATTAATATTATGGTCTAAATTTTCTGATGCATTAATAGTTTTAGATCCCAATTTATTGTCAATACATAAATCTTTGAAAGATGCAGTATTTTCCAAATTTGATAAGAAAACTGTAGCATCTGAACAACAGTGTCTGCCTCCAGATCGAATCATTCTTACGTATCCCATTGCATTACCAATTTGACTAATGAGCTCTCTAAATAAGTCCAAATAACTTTGCCCGTCATCATCTAAGCCAAGAACTTTAATGCCTTTATTAAATTTTTCTGCATATTTATAATGGTACATGCCATTATTAGCTGGTGATGTTTCTTTAAAATTTCGCAAATCCTTAATAAGTCTTGACTTAATATGTTCATCATACATAAATTGGGAAAAAGTAAAAAACTTCTTTTTTAAAAATTGGTAAGTAAAATTGACTGTAGTATTCATTATACCGGTTCCATGTGTCCTAATGGAATTTGCAATATGCTTAATATTAATAGAGTTTAAGTGTTTGTTATTGCTACTTTTCTCAATAAATATTTGATTGTTCAGGTTGTATAAATATTTGGACACAAATATATGTATATTTCGCATAATTTCTAAAACATCGAGACCCTGTTCTAATGTTTGTGTTGGTAGATTGTCTTGAACAGTTTTTAGATTAAATTTGAAGTTTGCCATTTGTCGCATTTCACCATAAGTTTTCCAATCGGACAAAACAACTGTTGTCAAGTTGTAGTACATAGTAGACAGGTAGTGTTCTACAGATGGAACAACACACATGTAAATTGTTAATATCCGAAAAGTGTCTATAGTTAATAATAACTTTTTAGTCATATTCATTTCAAAAGGATTAATGGCATCCAACTGCAAGTGAGAATGAATATGCAAACGCAAATTCGTTTCTATATTTTGACCGGTACTTTTAATTAGTTTTTCATCCATCAAATTCTGCATATTCATAAGAAATTTTTGAGATTTTTCCATGCTATATAGCTTATCTGTCACATGTAATAACATTGCACAATCTTCCAGTACCATAAAAAAATATCTAAGCTTCAGTACATTTAACTGTGTATTAAAATTTTGTTCGTAGTAAATTGGTATAACGTTTTGATGCCATAGTATCCAAGCACAGTTACAGTACTCCTCAAAAGATTTTATAAAATTTGATAATGTCTGAACTTTTTCCAATATAGTTCCAAGTTTAATATAGCTATCATCTATGTATGTTGTATTGGGAACGAAGCTTAGGGCTATATTAGCTGCGATATTGCGATCTATAGTAGGTGTTCCTTTGAGGGCTTGTTCAGCAATTACAATACAAGTAAACTCATCCAATCTTTTATTTGCAAAATTTTTTTCAGCCATTACTGATTTCTTTACGTCTTGTATTGATGATGTGGCTTGAAATATTAAATGTTGGATTACCATATTTATAGAATTGATTATCTGGTTATAATTTCTAGAGACTGCATTTTGTAATGATTTCATCATGTTGATAATTTCGAATAATGACATTAATATATTTCTTGATAATGGCACTCCAAGAGAAAGATGTAAGTTAATCAAGGTGAGAAGAGAATAGTTTATGGTTGATATTAACTCTAGACCGTCTAGTAAAGTTCTGGTATGTAAATTCATTTCTGTAGCACTAAGTTTATGATTTTGAGAAGAAAATAACTCTTCCATATTTAACACCCACTGGTTGCAAGAGTTGTGAAGATTAGTTATATCACGATGAAGGGATGTTTTTTTATTTGAGATATATGTTTGACGTGCTTTTAACATTGTCTGGGATAATTTTCCATGACTTGCACATAATGATGGAACATGCCTCTGTAAAAATTGTTCTGGGTACCATACAGTAGTACCAATTAAATTAATGCTGTGTGCCTGGAAATATTTTAATATTATATGTATAATTTTTTATTATAATTATTTGAATATGAAATTGTAAAAAAAAAAAATAATAACAAACCTTTGTGTTTAAATCAATCAATGATTTAAATATTTTTTTATCCATTGTACCAAACAAATATGATGTCAATACAAACAGAGTGTTCACTTTGATACATTTATACATATTGTTACCATTTGGTTTGTCTTGTATCATTTTGTCTAGATTCGTAATTGCTTGTCTTAAATACTGTGTAAATTCTGTTGTTAATGTAGAACTACTTTTATCAACCAAGTTCTTTCTTAAAATTAACAAGTTTTGGAGAGAAGTCTGGACAATGTCATCATTCATTATTTTGGAAGTAATGTTTTCAGTAGCTGTGATAATTGCTTTGATTTTATCTTCAAATATATTAAATTTATCTGGCATATGACTGAATGCTTTAAGAGTTTTGCAATATTTGTTCCAATGTGAAGGAAGTGAAGACATAGATATGAGCTGTTCTAAGATGACCAAAATTGTAAATATCTCTCCAATATGTTTAATTATGTAGTGTAATTGAATACCATCTGAAAGTAATAATATAATTATATATTATTATGTATTATAATTTTAAAATACTTAATAGAATCTAAAATATCATATGAAACTTACTTATGTTAACAACAACTTCAGTAAATACACCAAACACTTGACTGCAAAGGTTCCGTAAAGTATCATCACAACGTGTAACAAAGGCACTTAATGAGCATATAGCATGCATTTGTGCACTTATATCACAATCCCTATATTCTTCATAAACAGCCAAAAATGGAAAATGTCTAAAAAGATTCTTTTATTAATAATGTACATGTTATTCAACTAATAATCTAAATAATAGGATCAAATGTAACTAGAGGATGTCTATATATGGGATATATTTAAGAAAAACTAATATGAGAGACCAATAGATGTTAAAACAATAATTTTTAGAAATTATGTCTCTGTCTCTCTCTTAAATTATGTTTTTTTTTTATAACAAAGAGGGCAAATAGACATGCGGCTCACTTGATGGTAAGTGACCACAGCCACCCATGATCACTCACAATACTAGAGGAGTTGCAGGTGTTGCCGGCCGTTTAAAAAGGAATATGCCCTTTTTTGAAGGTTATGTCTGTATATTTGTTTTGGTATCATGCAAAAAACTACTGCATAAAAATTAGATTAAAGTATCAATAATCTTAATGGCTTAACCAACCATTATGAAATTTTATATATCTAGTATTTAGAATGGTGAAGTACATCGTCAATTAATATATAATTATCATCAAAGTCTTAGGTGAAAACAACTCCATACTAATATTAGAAAAGTCAATGTGTTTGTTTAATTCTTAACATTTCATTTGATTGTTATGAAATTTAGTATAACATACTATCTAGGATGGAGAATACATAAAAAATTTTTCAGGGTAATCAACATATTCTGATCATATTATTATTATATTATTATTACCAGAGGGAGACTTTGTACAAAAGTCGTTTGTTGGGTACCTCTGTCCCATTCGTGTTTAAACCGTAAAGCAGTTGTGTTTGCATGACTGTGCTTCAGTTTAAAGGGTCTTTTTAATGGGTGATAATGAAATGGTTACCCCACTGCACTACCGGTATACACTGACGGGGCACCAGTGAAAGATGATATGTGAGGATGAAGCAGGTCAGTTAGCCCATTGTGATGAATTTTACAAGAATTGATGGTTTCCATGGGGTACCATGTGGAGGTCAACCTGATAGGGTATATTGCTAGCAATGGGACTGTTAAACTCCATTGCTAACAGTCCCTTTCTCTCCTCGGTTTGAAGGGTGGGATATGGCAGTGAATTTACAGGGTACAGAGGAATAACACCTGAGTCCTCAGGAATAGCAATGCATGGGGGGTATCATGGGTGAAACAGTATACTTTGCTATGTCCATGGTACTGCTCATGTCTATAGGTGATAGTTACCACTTTCCATCTGGTGGGCCGTCAGCTTGTTTGCCATTCTAAATTGTATAAAAAAAATAAAAATATTGTTGAAGTCATGGCCAACATTATATATTAGTTAGCTATCTATTGACACATAACTCAAGTAGAAGGGAAAGGGATTTTTAGTAGATTGATTTCCATGATTCCCCCGGGAAATGATTGTTGTTAATTCTTGTCAATTCCTGACAATGGGACAACTGAGTTGCTTTTATTTTCACCTATCATTTTTCACTGGTGCTCCATTAGTGTATACTGATAGCCCAGGTAGGGTTGTTAATTCATCATAACCAATTCAAAATATTTTAAGTATATTTATGTAATATTTTAAAATTTTATCTTAATGTAAATTTTCACTGCAACAACTCAAATTTAGAGGAAACCACTAACCTTTCAAAAGCTTCTTTTTTCAATTCCATTACTTCGACACACAAAGAAGATAGAACGCTAAGGACTTTGGTCATCAATATATTATCCGAGGATAGCAATTCATTAATGGAGAGAATTTCATTCCATTCCATAATTACTTGTATAGGCAAATAAGTTTTATTATCCTCCCACTTTTCATTTTCAGTAACAAGTAGAAGTTCCTGATGTTGTTTCCTAAAGAACTCTCCGTAACTTTTGAGTATATGTTTTCCAGCTTCTTTTTCTGTATCAGCGCCCATTTTAAAGTGTTCTAGTCATCAAAATATAAAGATAGCCTTCAGTCAGTTTTAAATGTAGCTATATAAATAACAATAATTGTTAAACAAAATATATCTGTGTAGAAAAGGTAAAATTTTTTTTTTCTTTCTTATGGCACGGCACAAAAAGCACCGCCAAAAACAGTTTGGGAAACAGTATCTTAGTAAAGGAGTTTTGGACGACGGAGATTAGGATAAGGATCAGAAAAGTTGAATAATGAAAAGGACAGATACCTAAATAGATATTACAATATATACATATATATGTATATTTTTTTATTTAATTTTCATTTTAATTTTACAATATAGATATAGAACTACTTCAATAGTGTTGTACTTTAGTAATTTCCACAGATGAGACAGACTATGTCTAAAGACGACAGACTGTGTCTTTAATTAGACTGTCTATTAATTTCTTTAGTCACATTTTTTTTTCTCTTCATATGGCATGGCACAAAGTGCATCCATAAAAAAAAAAAGTTTGGGAAGGGCATTTTAATACAGCGAGTTTTGGATGACGGAATTTAAGATACAGATCACTAAAGTTGAATAATTTATATCTTCTATCTATACTTATAATAAATCTGTAGAGAGGTCAATTCTGTACATGAAATATATTTTCAAAATAACTATCAGGAGGTGATTAGTGATCGATACTGATGCCAAAAATGCAATCAGTAAAATTTTTGTCTGTCTGTCTGTTCGTTATAGAAACAAAAACTACTCGACGGATTTTCACGAAACTTGGTACGCTTATTCTTCATACTCCTGGGCAGGTTATAGTATACTTTTCATCACACTACGATCAATAGGAGCAGAGCAGGGAAGTAAAATGTAGAGAAAACGGGAGAAGTTACTTCATTTTTAAGCTTCTGTCGCGTGTGCAGCCTTAATGGCCACTTTTTAAAAGTAAAAATGTCCACCCGTGCGAAGCCGGGACGGGCAGCTAGTGGATAATATAAGGAAAAGGACAGATACCTAAATAGAAATTACAATATATTTAACCTTAAAAATATATATGAATATGTAAAGTACATAAACTGAGAGAATTTACCACTTAATATTATTGCTAAAAATAAAAGAGGAAATCAAATTATATACTCCTTAATTATTAAAAACCAATAATGCTGGATCAGAAGTAGATTCGAGAATACGGAAAGAATTGAAATGAACAGAATGTTTATAAAGACGATAATTTAGGAGAATGTGATTTAAATCACAATTTTTTTTTATTTTATTTCAATAGGTACACATTACAGAGAATTAACAATGTTACATTAATTTATACAGTACAATAATGTTTTGTTCAAACTAACCCTTCAAAATAATGCGTACACAGCATGATGAAAACATAAACACACAAATATCTGTATATATCTGTGCCACAATTGCACATATTATTGTTCATAACTTTTAATTAAAGAGCAATATCCACTGTAACAAATATTTTATTTTATAAGAATTACATTATAAAAGGTAACAATATTGGAAGAGAATAAGCCAACAGTAGCCCATTACACTCACGTGACAGATAATTTTTGAGAGTACACCTAAGAACAAGAAATTACATAGAAGGAATGATAAAATAAAAACTGTCAATCATATTTTTTTTTACAACACCAGGGGCAAACGAGCATGCAGCTCACCTGATGGTAAATGACTACCGCCGCCCATGATCACCCACAACACTAACGACATTGCAGGTGTGCTGCCGGTTTTTCAAAAAGGAATATGCTTTTTTCTTGAAGGTTACGTTGTCATATCGGTTCGGAAATACTGCTGTTGGAAGTGGATTCCAAAGAGTGGTTGTGCGTGGAAGATGATGGTATATCTTTCGTCCTCTTTTTACTAATTATATAGTCGTTTGTCGTATCTTCTCACTTTCAGGGCACTTCCCTTGATAATAAGTAGATTGGGGATTCTTGGCGTCGATATATCTAGCGACGTCCAATTCTGCGGTCATCTGGAGGAAAAAGCTAAGATAGCTTCCAAAATTTTGGAGGTGCTCAATAGGGTAGAATATTACGCTGGAACATCACCTGAAACTGTATAAAACTCAAGTCAGGCCACATATGGAATACTGTTCTCACCTATGGGCAGAAGCACCACAGTACCGATTCCTTCTGTTAGACCGCATTTAAAGTCGGGCAGCTCGAATTGCTGACAATTGGCGCCTTACTGTCCGGCTCTACCCACTGAAACTTTTTTTTTATACCATTGAGGTGGCAAACAAGCATACGTCCCACCTGATGGTAAGCGGTTACCGTAGCCTATGAACGCCTGCAATACCAGAGGTATTACGTGCGTGTTGCCGACCCTGAAGAAACCTCTTTACTCCCCTTCTGAAGAACCCCATACTGTAGCCTCTTGGGAAAACTTCGGCAGGGAGCTCATTCCATAACCTGAGTGTTCGTGGGAGAAAACATCTCTGTAACCGCGTTGTACGCGACCATTTAGGATGTAAGGTATGAGGGTGAACTCCCTGTCGATGGCGAGCCGTACGATGATAGAAACTGGGCGTAGGCATCATATTGAATAATTCCTCTGAGCACAATCGGTTGTATAAGTGGTAGAACACGCAGAGTGAGGCAAAATCACTCCTAAGACTTAAGGGTTCAATACTGCTTGCAAGCCTGGGATCATCGACAATTCTCATAGCTCGTCGTTGCACTGAGTCGAAGGGTTCAAGCTAGTATCTAGATGCTCCCGCCCATAAGTGACAGCAATACTCCATATGGGGCTGGATTTGCGATTTATAAAGCATTAATCGCTGATCCGGTGTGAAGTAATGCTTCGCTCTATTAAGGACACCGAGTTTTTTAGATGCCAGCTTTACCTTATCTTCGAAGTGGCCACGGAACTATACGTCACTAGAGATGTCGACACCAAGGATCCCAATGCTTTTAGAGATGTTAAGAGACATGCCCTGGAACTGTGGAGCCACAGCAAATGGGGTTATCTTAGCGGTGAACGCGCAAACTTGTGTCTAAGAGGGATTAAATTGGACCAAGTTTTGTCGTCCCCAATCAGAGATTCAAGTTAATGTTCTCTCGATTTCAGATACAAGCTGTTCACGATTGTTCTCCACGATGGAACGGGAGACATTGGTATGACCCGTATAAAGCCGAAACCCGAAAAAATAACTTTTTCTAAGTCAATTTTCGTTTAGGGCAGGATTTGGCTGGGTCTCCGGGGTTCAGCCATTTCGACGAGCGCTTCCGATTATTGTACAGTATCCACTTTTCATCACAAGTAATGATTCGATTTCAGTCAACCTAAATATATAAAAGCCATATATAAAGCGTTCTTGTGGTTGAAGAAATTTAAAAAATAATTTGAATTTATTTTGAAAAAATATCAATATTTTTGGATAAAAAAGAGATAAATATTTTTTTTATGTTATTACCTTATTGAATGACCACATTTCGTAGCAGTGTCAAATAGCGTATTGACGTTCTTAGCAATTGACTGAGCAGTTGTCAAAAGTGACGGTTGTTGTTGTCTATGATGGTCAATTTACAACTTTTAATAGTGGTCTTCTCTATTGGTTAACATTGTTTAGTTGGTGGTGTTTTGATATTTTACCGATGTTTATTATTGTATATCAGTTATTATTAAATTATTTTTTTATTTAGCCGATATTAATAAATATATAAAACGTATATTCTTTCTTTAATTCCGTTAGAATTTTGTCGAAATAATTTCGTTTTACTTCTTGAACACTCGGTATCAGGCTTTGAAATAGTAATCTATTGTATTAAAGTTATTAAATTATTTTTAAATTATCAAGATGGATCAGATGTTACCCAGTCCATATAATATACCGGGGATTGGGACTCCGCTGCATCAGCCTGAAGAAGATCAACAAATATTGCCGAACGCCATGCAACAGCAACAACACCAAGCTTTGGCTACGTTGAGTTCTTCACCGTTGGTTGGATTTGGAGGATCTATAATGGGCACTCCTCAGAGATCTATGCACACTTATGCGCCGACTGCTAGTTTCTCAACACCACAGCAAATGATGCAGCCTCAAACTCCCGTAAGTAGATTTCGCAGATTTAGAGTTCATTAGGGTGATTTCAAAAATTGCAATATCTGAAAATTATCAAATCTATTTTATAGGCTTTATTGGCTATTGATTACTTTAATATTGGCTCTTGATGGTCATAATACATGGAAAAAAATATTTGTTATGTGTAGATAGGTTTAAAAATTCACCAATTCTGATTGGTAAAATACAAATCCCGCAAAGGAACAAATTTAAAATATTTTGCCAGACATAACTAGAAACTGAAAATGTATTTATTGTAACAGGTCTAAATTTATAGATATGGTGATACTTGGAAAATTGAGAAAATAACATAAAAAATCATTTGAACAATTTATATAAATTAAAAGCATAACAAATTTTAACATAATGGTATTAATTTAAATTGTCCACTATTATAGAGTATTTGAAGCTTTTTGTGTGATGTTGAATCTTCTTTTTTGAGCAATCAAAAATCAGCCATCATAGCTTTATCCTATTGTTCTTGATATCTTATTTCTATTGTTCGTACATCCTGATGAAACCCCTCTCCTTGTTCATTGTTCACTGAACCAGGAATAAACAATTCATCCTTAACCAAATTTCTTATGTGCTGACCTATAAAAACTCCTTTTTTTAGCTTAGCATCACTAAATTGAGGGAAAGCTGTTTTTAAATACTTGAATCCTTCCCTTTCTGTGTCCATAGCTTTTACAATTTTTTTTATTAACCCTAATTTAATGTGCAAGGGTGGTAAAATAGCTTTTTTGGGGTCAACTAAAGGTGGGTACTTGATATTATTTCTTCCTGTTTGTTTTTTTTAATGGATGACAATGGTATGGTAACCCCATCTGCGCTATTGGTATACGCTGGCGGGGCACCAGTGAGGGATGACAAATGAAGATGAAAGTAAGTCAGTTAGCCCATCCTGATGAATGAAACTAGAATTAGTCATGATGGTTTCCAGGGGGGACCACATGGAGGTCGACCTGACAAGGTATATTGCTAGTAATAGGGCTATTTGACCCCATTACTAACAATCCCTTTCCCCCCTATTTCTTCCTGGTTGATATGTAACTCTTACTGGCCAATCCTTCTTAATATAATAATTTTTCATAGATCCACTGTCCCATAAAGACAAAAAAAAAACAACATTATTTTGTGAACCCATTCTGCAATCCAAGAAGGATAGCAATGATTTTGAGCAATCATTTACATGATTCCAAAGCTCACCACAGCATAGGAACTGCAAAAGAAATTTTCTTTTGTTTACTTTTCATCCACTTTAAAAGACCCATGTAACAAGAAATACAACACATTTGAGGTGTCCACAACTTTTCAATATTTCTGATTAGAAAATTTAGGATTTACAATTGTAAATCCAAAATAGAAGTGGTAAGCTGCTTTTATCTCCACATACTAATAAAATTTATTTAATGAATTTTTACAAGATCTCCTTTGATGATTAGCCATATTCTTATGCACAAAATGTCTTAACTAACTAACTTAACTTTATATAATAATACAAAAAAACTTGTTAACTCGAAATATTGTGAATAATATATTCTGAGGATTTGTGTACAGGAGGCTAATGCTAGTGAAATATGAAACTTTGAATAAAACTTATATTAGACCTGTCACACTACTTTAATGACCTGATGGGTGAAAGATGAGGGTAGTGCAACAAAAATATATGATTACTATTCTGGTTGTCAAACTTTTGTTCCCTTGTGCTTAGGCAACTCATAAAATTTACATAATTATTATGACCTACCTATAATTGAATCAGAAATAATTAGAATTGACTATTCTAACACTATCATTTAATTTTTTAACAATGGAAATTTTGAATATGTTTCAGCAAAATCTTATGTCACCTATGATAACTAGTGGAAGTTTAGCAGGACAACAAATGCTTAGCCAAGCTAGTCCAGCGCCTATGACTCCCATGACTCCTCATTCAGCTGACCCTGGTATTTTACCACAGTTACAGTAAGTTAATACTTAAGTCTATATCTTTTTTATATGTATTTATATATTTTATTGTTTGGCTTGTTGATCTGTTATACTATATTCATACAGTTTGGAACTTAAATTTACCTACATAATTATTTACAATAACAAAACAAATTATTTCTTTAAGCTCTTAAATTTGACTCTGTGTGTTATTGCTTTTATAACAAATTGTGTTCTGAGGAATTCTTAGAAAACAGCCATCATGAAACACATCAATGCAAGCATAGTTGCTTTACAGCAGAAACATGAATGGGATAGAGATAGCCATGTAGGCAATTTTTTACACAGTCTATAGGTATAAAAAAACATTAATTTTCTGTATTAATTCCTTTTAAAACATTCCATACACTCTTGTAGGTTATTAGATTGTAAATTTGAATATAAATAATTTCAGGAATATTGTGTCAACTGTAAATTTAAATTGTAAGCTAGACCTAAAAAAAATTGCTCTACATGCTCGAAATGCAGAATATAATCCAAAGCGTTTTGCTGCCGTTATTATGAGAATAAGGGAACCCAGGACTACAGCACTGATTTTTTCATCTGGAAAAATGGTGTGCACAGGTGCCAAAAGTGAAGAAGATTCTCGGTTAGCTGCTAGAAAGTATGCTAGAATTATACAAAAACTTGGTTTTACAGTAAGTATAAATGAAAAATTATGATACTAGAATTAGGCATGTGTAATATCGGTATCACGGCATTGATGGTAAAAAAGGTCATTATAGATAGATAGATAAACTTTTTATTTGAACCATTATCTATTTTGATACCGCCCATGCCAGTCAGATATCCATAGGGATCCATTATTGAGCCAATATGTAAATATTGTGACTACAATATATAGATATTGCTATATAATTTGTATCAGCCGTTAACTGTCCACTGAACATAGCCTCTCCCATTGCCAGTAGTCGCCATGCTTGACAGGCTATTTGGCAGCCGTATTCTGGCTTTTGGTTATATTTTAAGAGGGATGCTGCTACCCATCTCTCCACTACAAGCTATACTCACCCCTAGAATAATTCATAACCAGATTTTTGCTAATATCTCGCATAAATCAGAGTAGAATCTAGAATACGAGGGTCATTTGAAAAGTTCTTAGCCTAACATGGTTAAAGTCATTGGTTTTTTTTTTATAACTACCCTCATTGTAGTTACATTATTTAGCAACAAGTATGCACAGTTTAGTTTATTCACAATAACTCATTGTTCGTTTACACGTGATACCGTAAGTCAAGTTAGAGCTATTTTTGAAAATGGATAAAATTGAACATCGTGCAGTGATAAAATACCTAAATTTGAAAGGTTTAACTCGAAAAGCTATACATGAAGACATGTCTACTACTTTGGGTGAGTCCGCTCCTTCGTATGCGACTGTTAAAAACTGGGTGGCAGAGTTTAAACGTGGTCGAGAGACCATTCAAGATGAGCCCCGTAGTGGCCGGCCTTCGACTGCTTCCACTGATCAAAACAAAGAAAAAATCTGTGATTTAATTTTATCTGATCGAAGATTGACTGTCGTGGAGATGGCTAAGACTATAGGCATCTCATCTGAGCGAACACATCATATAATTACTACTGAACTTGGTTTCTCTAAGGTGTCTGCGCGGTGGGTACCGCGACTGCTTTCAGTGGAACATAAACGCAACCGACTCACAACTTCTCGCGACTGTTTAGAGTTATATAAAGCTGACCCAATAGAATTTGTTGAAAGATTTATAACCATGGATGAAATCTGGGTTCACCACAATACATCCGAGACAAAAGAACAGTCGAAACAATGGAAAAGAGCGGGATCGCCCACCCCAAAGAAGGCAAAGGTGGTTTTATCGGCGGGCAAAGTCATGGCATCCGTTTTTTGGGATGCAAAATGTATAGTTCTCGTGGATTATTTAAAAAAGGGTGAAACAATAAACTCCGATTACTATTGCAACCTGTTGCGTCTTTTGAGAGAAGAAATCAAAGAAAAACGTCCAGGTTTATTGAGAAGAAAAGTCTTGTTTCATTAGGACAATGCGCGCGTTCACACCTCTGTGTAATCGATGGCAGAAATCCTTCAATGTGGCTTCGAATTGTTACCTCATCCCCCATATTCACCGGATTTAGCACCGTCCGACTTTTATCTGTTCCCAAAGCTGAAAAAATTTTTAGGTGGTAAACATTTTTTTACAAATGAAGAGGTCATAGCCGCCGTGGACGCTTATTTTGAGGAGTTAGACGAAGATTTTTTTAAAACGGGTATCGAAACCCTACCGGGTCGATGGAAAAAGTGTTTTGAGCTCGGAGGAGAGTATGTTGAAAAATAAAAATAAACTCAAAATCATGTGGTTTCATTAAGTATGTTAGGCTAAGAACTTTTCAAATGACCTTCGTACATATTCATTCATAATTTCGCTATTAGGATGATAGGATTATTAGGAGATAAACAGTAGAACATTATGGATTTCAGAAGTAGGAAAACCAATGGAATAAACCTTTTCTAGATGGCGTATCAAGATAAAATATACACCAGTATTTTTAATTTGGCCTAGTTTTATGAACACAAATGTGAAAACTGCATCCAATTTGGTGCAGTAGTGGTTGGTTAAAGTTATACACATTATCTAGGTACAATTTTATTATTTTAGTGTGATTTTTTTAAATAGTTTTCATGTACATAGTATATTATATGAAAACTGTTGAGCCTATTGTATTGAAATCATGATGTTACTTTTAAATAAAATATGATATCATATATTGTGTGTATATCATATATGATAAGGATGATATGATGTGAATATATAGGCAAAAGAAAAATAATCAAATTAATATAATGGTAGAGAATTATTATTTTATTCTAATAAGGCCAATGCTATCTATTATAAGTCTAACTTATACTTATACTTACAATTCAAAACAATAAGAAAATATAATATTAATATATCATTAGCACTGAAATAAAAATGAATAAATATAATAATAAGTCTTATTCATCTCAAGGTATGGTTATTCTGGGGGTACTCAAAATAAAAATAAATCTGTGAGATGGCCTTCAACTTTTCACAAGTTTTGGCTGCCGTGTATTTGGTGGTAAATGCTAAGGAGATCTATGAGATTTTCTTTTTTATGCTACTTAGCATATAAGTTGATGTCACCATCCCCACAGCATCATTGCAGAGAATGTACTGTATTGCCCATGATATATATCATGCATTGCCATTCAAAGGACTAAGTGTTATATCTCTGTTAATGCCATATCCAATTCTTTAAACCTCTTCACAGCAGAAACAGTGAGTTGAAAAGATATATCCAAGCAATGACTTTTGTTCACAGTCTCCTACTGCTTTTACTTATCCAGTACCAATTATTTAGCACCTGGAATATGTGTGAAGGTACTGCACCATCTGGTACTCAGTAGCTAAAAGTTAAAAGGCACATAATACCTACTATATTGTTTCTATTAGTAATACTTATTACTAAATATACATTTTATATGTTTCAGGCAAAATTTTTAGACTTCAAAATACAAAACATGGTTGGAAGCTGTGATGTTAAATTTCCAATTCGACTTGAAGGATTAGTTCTTACACATGGACAGTTCAGTTCTTATGAACCGGAACTTTTTCCTGGACTTATATATAGAATGGTGAAACCAAGAATAGTACTGTTAATATTTGTTTCAGGCAAAGTGGTACTGACAGGTGCTAAAGTACGGCAAGAAATATATGAGGCATTTGATAATATTTATCCTATTCTAAAAAGTTTTAAAAAACAGTAAATTATTATCACATAACAGTTTTACTTTTATTTAAATTAATAGACAAGCCACCTATTTACTCTTCTCAAGACCGAAATATTTTTAAATTTTTAATTATGGGATGGCACATAGTGCATCTGCCAGAAATAAAGTTTGGGGAAGTACATGGATTTTTTTAATGAGTGAAAATGAAATAGCCTGCATGTGTTATCGGTGCCTATACACTGACGGGGTACCAGTGAGATATGATAGGTGATGGTGAACGTAGTTTAGTCAACGTCGGTCTACCGATAACCGTGTGGAGGTCGACCTGCAAGACTACTCTTGAATCCAATATCGATATCAATCCAATTTAATACCAATGACAATTTTGTACTACACTCGTGAAACAACAATGAGTAATCAAGTTAAAATTGGAATTTGTTTGTAATAGTTTGCATTGGCAAGTCATAATAATATGCACATATTAGAACAATATGTAACCATTATGTCGCTAGTATTGTATTCGTGAGTGCGAAACGTTTCAATTCCTTTATCGATCTATTTAAAGTTATTTTAATAGTAACACCACTCATAGGGTAATTGCTAACAAAGGGACAGTTAGTAGACTCTATTACTAAGAATCCCTTTTTCGCCCCGGAGGGTACGTGTTTGTACAGTTTTGGATGAGAGAATTTGGGATAAGGATATGAAAAGCTGCAATAACTATAAATGATTAAATATAGAAGAGAGGCCGTTCCCTAGACGTAATACCGTAAAATGGGGTGAATAAGCATGAAATCGATTTTCATTTTTTTTTATTCAACTTAGAATGGCAAACAAGCTGACGGCCCACCTGATGGAAAGTGGTAACCGTCGCCTATAGACATGAGCAGTACCATGGACATAACAGAGTATACTGTTTCGCCCATGATACCTCCCATGCGTTGCCATTCCTGAGGACTCGGGTGTTATTCCTCCGTACCCAGTAAATTCACGCCATATCCCGCCCTTCATACCTTAATTTCTTAATTTTGTTAGACATCTTCATTTTTTACGCATTCTAATTATCTCTGGTTGTTCAAATTATATGATTAAATTCAACAAATTATAAAAGTAAGCAGTAGTTGATTATTTGCAGAAAAATGTGCGTATCCCTATTTATATTGGATCCGGGATGATCTGTAACAAAACCGCACGCGATCAGGTTTGCGCCCGAGCGCATTCCAACGACTCAGATTTCCCACCCATCACGACATACCGACCCTTGACGGAGGTCGAAGTGCAGTGGCCTAAGCCGAGATCTGAGCCACTCTGGCGCTCTTAGGTGCACGCCGCAGTCCATAAGTAAAAGTCGACACCTTTGTGATTCCCCTCTCGCGGGCTCGGAGTGCCATCTGCACTCGCTCCTGCAAACGCGTTCGGTCAAGCTGTAAAGGCCACTCATGACCAACACATTCAGAAAAAAAAGATCTGGAACAAAAGTGGGGTGGATAGGGAAAAAGTCATAGGGTTGTCAAAATATTGTTTGTATATAGAATATTTAAATAAATTTTACTTAACAATAAATATATACAGGTTTTTAGGCAATAAACTTAGTTATGTGGACTCAAGAATTCAATAAAATCGCAGAGAAGAATTTAGTTGTTAAATATATAATTTTCTGTGGTGTTTTAGAATTACAGAATGTATTTAACAGAGTTGTACGAGTATGTAAGGAATTTTAATACATTCGTCTAAAATATGAGATCTTATCGATGGCACACAGGTTACTTTTTTTAATGGGTGATAATGAAATGGTAACCCCGCCTGCGCTATCGGTATACGCTGGCGGGGCATCAGTAAGTGATGATAGGTGACAATGAAACCAGGTCAGTTAGCCCATTGTGACGAATTCCACTAGAATTAACCACGATGGTTTCCAGGGGGAACCACGTGGAGGTCGACCTGTAGGGTGTATTGCTAGCAATGTGTTCATTAGACCCCATTATTTTTAATTCCTTTCCCCCCCAGGGTTACTTACTATTAACCAGACTATTATAGGTACTAATTTTGTATCTGGAAAAATGTCAAATTTAATTTTATAGATAATTTTACAGCGACAATGCGTGCTTTTATGATCTGTGCTATCTGTACAAGTTGGCAGAGCGTCAGAGAAATTATAAGTGAAGCATAAAGAAGGACAGTTAGTTTATTGTAATGAATTTGAAAAGAATTAACTATAACGCTTTCTAGGAATCACGTAGAGGGAACAAGGGGACTGTAAGATTCTATTAGTAACAATCGCTTTCCAGTCGTATCCTTAGTCTATGAAATAATTTCGGACACTGACATTGGCTAATGCAATGAAATGACAGTGACATCACATTGCCCGTTGTCCAATGCTCAATTCCGACCATATATACACGCATGCTTTTGTTCCAATTTCCATTTAATCAACCTTTTTGAACCATTTTTAAATTTTTATTTGTATCTACAATACAAATAGCAGTGTGGCAATCTTTAGAAAGCAAATACATTGAAGTATTTTGTTCATTGGATATTCAATAACCAATAAACATGGCTGAGACTATGAAACAAACTGTTGCTACTATATTAAAAAGTATTGAGAGGTAAGTTAATTTGTTGTTTATTTCTTGATTACTTGGTTAACCGTACTGTACTACAAAACAAATTGTAGTAAAAAATAAATTTATTTCCATTTTAGATATAATCCAGCAAATCTTCAAACCTTGGAAAGATATGTGGAGATGCAGTCTCGAGAAAATACATATGACTTGGAAGCTAATTTAGCTGTGTTAAAGCTGTACCAGTTCAACCCGGAGAAATTCAATCCAGACATTACTTGTCAGATTCTTCTGAAAGCTTTAACCAACTTTCCACATACTGATTTTACTCTGTGTAAATGTTTACTGCTTGAGTCTGTGGTAAGTATAAGCAGAATGCTATAAAATCTTATTACATTTCTACTTTAATTGTAATATTTCAGAAGTTTATATGTTAATATGGGTTGAAATGATGATATCGTAAATATTTATTTTATTATTTATATTAATCTATGATTGTTTAAAATCAATATCTGAATGTAGACTTTCTATTCTGTTCTTAGTAAACATTTGGGGAAAATGGCTATACATAACCAACCCCACTCTACATGGTAAATTGTATAATATTATTAGGCTATCATATTCTTGTGGTATTATTTTTGTACTTCATTGTGTTATATCTAATTGTTCTTGAAAATTTTTATGTTTTAGGTGGAAAATGAAACAATTTCTCAAATAAAATATTTGGCAGATATCTTAGAGCAGTGTGATTTTGCACAATTTTGGCATAGAGTACACCAGATGCCAGAATTGTGTAATCGTATCACGGGTTTCCATGATTCAATTCGCAAATTTGTGTGTCATGTAGTCGGTATAACATTTCAAACAATTGACAAGAATAATCTTGCCAATCTACTTGGTGGAATTGATGGTAAGTTTTCCTGAAAGTTTTACATTAGATAAATATCACTACTTCAGGGTACAAAGGGTGTAAACACCAAAATAGCAGAAAAAGCAAAATACATGAGTCAAAACATTTTAGCTTATATCTGTTTGTAGATTAATAATCATCAAGAACCATGTTGGTTTTAATAACAAAAATGTTTGTTTTAAATGTAGTTTAACATGATGAAACTTAATTTTGACTAAAACATATTTTAAAAAGTGTGGAGTTACAACCTCAAAAGTAGATAGAAATGGTGTGTTACTGATAATATATGAATATGAAATACTGTAACTACATTTGTTGCAGATTTTGATCTTAAAACTCAATGCAAATAAAATATAAATAATTTAAAAGATCAGACTTAAGGTTTTGAGAATTAATTGTAGGCTTGTGTGCATAATATAATAATATTAAAGTATGTATTGTAAATTTAAAATAATTAAACTTTTAATTTAATTCAGAATATTTTTACTGGTTTACTGTTGGTAACTTGTGATTTTGTTTGCATGCCTTAGGGACATTTTCATACACTCATTGGGTAGGGTTGTTCAAGGGGATCAACTTTTATATATCATGATCATATAAAATTTTTTGGGCATTGATCTGTTTCTGAATTATAGGGCCTAAATGTTTCTGTAATTTAAAAAATTTTCAACAACTTTTTGATTTCATGTTAACACCCTCCCCTTTTAAATGAACTTAAAAAAGAAGGAAGTTCTCAATTTGTGTGTATTTTTTTTATGTTTGTTATCTCATAATTGTTTTTATCTGAAAGGTTATTCTTACAGATTGGGCCCATAAAAATTGTATAAAAATCAGTTTAGTAATTACTTTTTAAATCAAAATAACTAACTAATTGGTTTTGCCACAACTGAAGCTGTTTTTTTTGTGGGATACAATTTAATTATTATATTTATGTGCCTATCGGATAGGGTACCCTGATAGGATCAATTTTGGTCATATGACCATTTTTCCTGCATTGCTTGGCTGATAATATTCTCTTGACTACTCTAATTTGGAAATGGACTAGAGTTTCATCCTTCACTGGTACTCATTAGCTCCAGCATTTACTGTTTGTCCAAGTGGGGTTGTCATTACATTGTCACTCACAAAAAAAAAAACACCTAATAACTGGTCAATAGTAAATTGGCTTTGTATATTGAGACTTCTGAACCATGAAAAAAAAAAGAACTATTAATTATATTTAATATTATATTTATTACAATGTAATATTAAAATAAATATAATTAATATTATTGTTAATTATAAATCTTATTTTACAGATGTTCCATTGAAACACTGGGTGAAGAAATATGGTTGGAGAGACGATGGTAACCTCATCTTTATTGCTAATCAGGACGAAAATATTAAAACAAAAAATATTACAGAGAAAATTGATTTTGAGCATTTGGCTCCCTTAATGGCACTGTTGTAAATGTCAACATAAATAAAGTGTTAATATCTTGCTAATATATTAATGTTGTTCATATTTTTAGATACCCACAATTATCTACACTAATATTATAAAGAGGAAAACTTTGTTTGTTTGGTTGTAATGAATAGGCTCAAAAACTACTGGACCGTTTTTAAAAATTCTTTCACCATTCGAAAGCTACATTATCCACGAGTAACATAGGCTATATTTTATTTTGGAATAAAATAGGGTTCCGTAAAATATTTGGGTTTTTCGGACACAAGGTGTAAAAAATCAATCAGAAAAGTTACTTATTTTACGTACGCTGCCTAAACTATAAAAGATAGAACTATAAAATGTTCTAATTAATTGTAGATCTTATAAATATCTACAAAAAAGTACCGAATAGGCTCCGAAACTACTAGACCGATTTCAAAAATTCTTTCACCAATAGATAACTACATCCTTTGACCATTTATGTTGAGCAAGTCGGAAGAAAAATTGTATAAAATTCGCTTACCTTGCGCATACTGACTAAATAGTTGCTTATAATGAAAAACAATGTTCTACGTTTTTAAAGTACTCATTGAGATCTACAAATAAGTCCGCGATATCATATGTCTAACTATTACGGTTAGGTCACAATAATCACTTTTCTTTCTAAAATTACGAGTAACCACGCTGGTCGCCGTCTGGGTGGTATTTTCATACTCCAGTATTAATCCTTATCTATCTATCGAGTTATTTCCAAAAATTGCATATTGCGATAACCAAGATCCACGCGGGCGAAAGCTAGTATTGATATATTTTCAAAGAGATCTAAAAATTAAGTTACTGAGTTGAAATTATGTAATTTTATTTTATTTTTATTTATTTATTTAAGGACAACTAACAAAACATACATTTATATCTACTTAAAATACATGATAAGAAGGTTACATTATAAAATGCTGCCTCAATTAAAGGCCGCCCCGACACGCGTATTCATATAATGATAGGGATATATTATTCCAAGGATGTACTTATTATATCCAAAGTATGTATATATCTAAAATTATGTAACAGTCGATGCATTTCATTTTGAGAGATCGCGATGCGACATAAGTATACATTGTAGTTGCCCAGTACCCCACTATTACAATGTTATTATTTGGTATTGACTTCTTTTCAGGGTTCCATGTCGCAACTTTGTCCGTTCATCAGTCACAGTGTAATATTTCAGAAACTAAGTACTAATGCTTGAATAATTTATTTTTTATTTTGATACGCCATCTAGAAGTGATCTATTTCATTGGTGGAGGGGCATGTTGGCCATGCTCAGCTCAGAACTGATTGCTGCCTATCTCAAGATGTAAGTGAAGCTTGAAAATAGTTTTAAATACGCCAATGTAAATTAATAATTTTTATTGTTAAATAATAACTTTTAATTCCAAAATAAGGAGATTTACAATTCTTATTTTTTTGCACGATTACGCTGCTAATTTCGAATTAACTTTTAGATTTTTTTTCCAGTCGATAGAGTTTACTTCCATGTTAATCCCATATTAATTTCGTGACGATTAATGTAGCCTTTTTCTTTGCGGAGCAAAAATTAATTGATGCAAAACAAAATTGTTACTTCAGACGCCTGGGTTTTAGAAATAGGAAAACTAATAAAATAAAATACTTCTATACGCTATATAGTAAGAAGTAAGACGTGTGTTTATGACCCATTTCGCCTTATTCTTTATGTTCTTGTTATTCAATCCTGAATACTCTATGTATTCACACAGTATTCAGGATTGAGGTTGTTTTTACGGACTAAAATATTTACGGTTTCCTTGATGGAAAGTGATATGTACTATACGTTGCCTATACTTAGACATGTCACGGACATCACCGTGTACTGCTATGCCGTGTCAGAGGACTACGGAATTATATCTCCGTAATTTGTTATTTTTCTGCCTATATACATATATCTTTATATTTATTCATAGGAACCTATATAAATTTAAATAGTGTACTTATAATATATATGTAATGTAATATTGTATATATGCAGGTATTAAGATAATATTTTTTTTTTATTATAAATAGCTTTATTAGGCCAAAGAAAATAATTTTTATCCAGATCTAGTATAGTACTATATGCCTAATATGGTATTGTATTTGCGTCCAGAGCGTCCAGATTAAATAATGTCACGGTTATATAGATGAAGTCGCGGGTAAAAACTAGTGTACAATAAACCACGAATTTTACTATGAATATATTTATCAAATAAGCAGCATTTTATAAGTAACTTTACAAGTCCAATTATAATTTATCACATTAGATTTCGACTGGCACTTCAAATTTTCATAATCATCATTAAGTACTCGTATAGAATATAGATAAGATTAGTAGAAGTAAAAGCTTCTACTAAGTTAACCAGTTATTTTATTCAAAGCATTTTACAATTAAATAGACCTAACAAATTATCTTAACATAAATAAATCATGACTTGTTTGTAACAAAGACAATAATCAAATAATAAAACATGCAACAAAATATATGAGACTTGAAACACCGCACTAAGCCTTTTTGCCGTGGCTGTATCCGTGTTCCTTTCCGCCGGCGTGGCCACCTTTTTTACCGTGGTCTTCGTGGTGCGCGTGGTGCTCTTCATGGCCGTGATGACCTTTATGCCCTTTGTGGTCTTCGTCGTAGTGACCCTTATCGTGATGTCCCTTTTTCCCATGATGCTTTTCATGATGACCCTTTTCGTGGTGACCTCCCTTTTTGTGATGTCCTCCCTTTTTATCATGGTGGCCATGGAAGTCGCCATGTTTGTGGTGATGGCCACCCTTGTGGAAGTCGTCGTAGAATTTGTGTTCTTTGTGGTATTCGTCTTTGTGTGATTTATGGTGGAAACCGGTGGTTTTAGAGCCTTTCTTGTGGCCTTTTTTGTGACCGAACTTCCCTCCTTTATGACCGTGTGCAGCTTCGTGATGCTCACCGTGATGATCGTGTTCGTCGTGGTGTTTCTTCTTGTGTCCTCCATGTTCGCCATGGTGACCTTCGTGGTGATGCTTCTCGTGATGGCCGTGCTCTCCTTTATCATGGTGGTGATGTGACTTGTAACCCTTATCACCTTTCTCTTCATCTTCTTTGTGGTGATGAGCGTGGTGCTCATGACCACCACCTTGTTCGTGATGACTCTCTTTAGACTTTTTATGTTCCGTTCCTGCAGGAGATTGATCTATTGACACGCTAGCAGCTGGTGCTAAGTCCCCACCCGATGGCGCAGTTAATTCAGATACTGTATCCTGTATTCCCTTTTCGCCCTTCAAATTGGCAATATTCCGTGCCCGGGTTGATATTAAAGCACATGCTAATAGTTCTATTAGTAACAAAAGCCGCATCTTTCTGTAACAAATCCAGTAGGGGAATAGTTAATTAATTATTAATATTTAAAATAAAAATATTTATTAAGCTACCAGAGGATAGACTTACATGTTTGTTTTTCTCGAGTGGCGTAGTTGCTGGGAGAGACACAACCGTTGTGTCACAAGAATTTTCGTAGTTCCAATTTATAGATAACAACGCTTTCATCTGGTACCGATTACAGTGTTCTTTAGCAATAGTTGCTGTAGATTTCTGGACGACTGACTGCAGACGTGTCGACATCAGTCTACGGTTAAACTAAATTAGTTCCGTTACACAGCCCACTAATAGGCGTTACTGATTAATTTTGATATATTCGATCGATTCTGTTTATTAATTTATTTGGTTATGTCCTGTCTATGTATACATGTATTTCTATTTTTATAATTGGCTGGTGTGAAATGTTAATAGTATTTGTTAATGTAATGTCTAGGTCTCGAGAGACACAGATGAGACTAAACAAGTAATGACTTTACGTATACATTATTTAGCATATCGCATATTTTACAGTTTGTTATAATAATAAAGTCTACTTTTATCGTTTTAAAATCCACCTTATATTCTATGTTTTGTGTTTACTTAACTAAAAATTTGGCATGACAACTATAATATGGTTGAGGTATTTTAAAATAAATTACGGAATATTTTTTTACTATGTCAATATTGATTTATTTACAGGCAGGTAATTAAAATATAACAATAAACACATAACAAATATCTTAATCGTAACAATATCAGTGCTTGCCGTGGTGGAATCCCCAGTGTTTATGATCTTCGTGGCCGCCTTTCTTGCCGTGGTCGTGGTGATGATGGTGGTGTTCTTCGTGGCCGTGATGGCCCTTGTGTCCCTTATGATCTTCATCGTAGTGATGCTTATCGTGATGCCCTTTCTTGCCGTGGTGGTGTTCATGATGCCCAGAGTGATGGTGACCGCCCTTCTTGTGGTGGCCGCCATGTTTCTCGTGGTGTCCGTGGTGATGACCATGTTTGTGATGCTTGCCTTCTTTATGGTGGTCATCGTAGAAGTGGTGGTCTTTGTGGTATTCGTCTTTGTGGTACTTCTTGTGATAACCTTCGGTTTCTTCTCCTTTGTCATGATGTTTCTTATGATGATGTTTGCCTCCCTTATGATGATGACCATGTTCGTGGTGATGGCCATGGTGGTCATCCTCATCCCAGTGTTTTTTGTGGCCACCACCATGTTCGTGGTGATGTCCTTCGTGGTGATGTTTATGATGTTCACCGTGTTCACCTTTGTGGTGGTGGTGATGTCCCTTATGCCCCTTATGTCCCTTTTCACCGTGCTCATGGTGATGGTGAGCATGATGCTCTTTACCACCCCCCTCCTCATGGTGATGACTTTTATGGCTGGCCGCTGCGACCAGGTCGGTTTCCTTCTGGCCGATCTCGCGGCCGGAACAAACGACTAAAACACATCCTAACGCAGTTAGGGCGACAAGCGTCCTCATTGTTTTACCCTTGTTTATACTACTACTTCTTTAATGTTTGGATATCGGGACAGGACTGACAGTGAGACAGACCGATATTGCATTTATATCATTAAAGTTGCAGGTTGCACTCGGTGAAACCATTGGACAAGGACAGAGTGTCGCGCTTGGCACGCGCTACGCTTAATTAAAGTTTGTGATCATTGCGACATTTGTATTAGGCCTAAAGTATGCTTTTGTGGAGTTCCATGGATATGATTGGTCTATTTGTTTCTAACTTTATATAATAATACTAGCTGACTCGGCAAACGTTGTTTTACCATATACATTATTTTTAGAACTATACATGAAAATTTATCCTACTACAATTATTATATTGGGTTGCCATCTTGCAACCCTATTGCAGCATATAAAAATCGCGATAAAAAAACAGGAGTTGATTGTAAAACGGTGAAAATTTGAGGTTGTATGTATTTTTCAATGCTAAATCATTATAAAATAAAAATGGTAAAATTTGTCAAAAAATAAAAAAAAATTTTTTTGGGGAGGGTCACCCTTATCATTGAGGGGTATGAAAAATAGATGTTGGTCGATTCTCAGACCTACCCATAATGCACACAAAATTTCATAAAAATCAGTAAAGCCGTTTTGGAGGAGTTTGGTAACAAATACCGTGACACGAGAATTTTATATATAAGATAAATATTTAGAGATTATTATTCTCTCGATACAATAAATTCGGATATTATAACAGCAGGCCATTTTGTATGAGCAAGCGCCTATATTAATAGCGTCAGAAGATTTACTCATTTTCATACGTTTCTTGTTTAAATCAGTTTGCAATCGGGCCTTAAGAACGTCGCGTATTCCTATTCAATTATTGTCTTAATAATAATTTTGCAACTAATACACTTAATATAGTTAAAAGTGCCCTTTCTCTAACATGTAGTTTTGGTATACCCCGATAGCATGATTCTCATTTATTTGTGAAATACTTGTATGAACTTAAGTCGAGTCTCTTTCTTCTGGTAACATTATGAAGTCATCTCCTTGCTGCTCCTAGATAGTGACTTCTTTATACGATCTTAACTGGTAGTTATAGCTATTTTTTTATACAACTTAGAATGGCAAACAAGCTGACAGCCCAGCTGATGGAAAGTAGTAACCGTCGCCTATAGACATGAGCAGTACCATGGACATAACAGAGTGTACTGTTTCGCCCATAATACCCCCCATGCGTTGCCATTCCTGAGGATTCAGATGTTATTCCTCTGTATCCTGTAAATTCACGTCATATCCCATCCTTCAAACCGAAACACAGCCATGCAAACACAACTGCTTCACGGTAGAAACACGAATGGGACAGAGGTACCCAAGCAATCGACTTTTGTACAAAGTCTCCACTAAAATTCACGAAGTTTGACAAACAGATTACATTTCGTTATGTTGTAAGTGTCCACATTATCAAGAACTCGATATCTATCAAGTTACCAACTTTGCAAGTCTGCCACACTGATGAAGGCTTTCGAACTTGATAAGTTTTGTAACATTTTCTATAGATGCGTTGTCCATATAACCCATAGCAGTAGGACACCATTTAGGATGAACAAATTTCGCTCAGCACAGAGGTATAGGTGTACCTATTAAGTACTCGTATATTACACTTTTGCTACAGTTATTAAATAGATTTGTGTCATTTGGCTTCTCTTACCTCAATTAAGATTCCGAGTCAGAGGGGTTTGAATTTGTTACATTATGCAGAATTTTACAATAATTTCCAAGATGATGATGTTTTTATTAACTAATAGATTAATTAGGTCGATATAGTTTTTGAATATCTATTAATTTGGTGGTTAATAAGTTAGATAATTATGGGACATATGGGGTGGAAGAGATTTATGCCTTCCAAACAGGTTTTGTTCAATAGGAGCTATGTAGTTACGCAACAAACAGGCACACCTGAGATGGACATCCATATGTTTAAAAGAGATGGCTGTCGCATAGCTAGTTCCATTAGCTGTAAAACTTATACATTGTTATTTCATGGTATCTCACTCACTGCTCTTAAGATTGGTTACGCGTGAGTAGTAAATATCATTCTTGTCACAGCGTATTATATGATGTTAGCGGTGTTGTTCTTGTTTACAGGTGACGTTATTTTCATTTCATAATAGGTAGTTCATCACCTCATTTGTTATTAAGACTGTATTACATGACTGTATACTATAAATAAAAAAGTAAGGCATTTCAAACCTGGCTTCGTTCCCACATTTTGACCCTTTACTAAAACTTGTAGAATAGAAATTAAGTGCAATGGTAGTTTTATTCTGCTCATACCATATCTACGTAATTCAAGTTAAAAATTTATGTACGTAACGTCTAGACATACACGCAGACAAGTTTTTTTTTTATGAAATATACATGATGAGTGAAATAAGCACGAATAAATGAAAATAGGTTAATAATTAGAAGTAAATGTAAAAGGTGATTGGTAAAAAGAACAAACTAACTTTTTTACAGAAATAACCAGCATAAACGATTCCGTTAATATGTATTGAATCCAGTGAAGAAATCAGAAATATTTAGTTCTGTGTCATCACAAACATACATTATGATGCGAATGCATGTATTTTGAATGGCTATTTATATAAGTGAAAAGTGAACTCGGGAATTCCTACGTCAATATCGAAAAACGTTTATTCAATGGATTTAGTGTGGAAGGTAATTAGCATTTGTTAATTGATATATAACCTACGCTATATCTTATTATATAATTTTAAATTTATTGTTGTAGACATCTAAAATCATCACAAGGTAATGTTTATTTGATGTATATATTTTTAGGCTTATCAAAGCTTTTTCTTTGAGATCTGGTATAGGTACTCGTATACTTCATCCGAATGTCGGGTTGATTAATATTACTTGCTTATTTACGCGACAAGTGCACATATTTGTGCATCTAATTATAAGTACTATATTGTGTGATTGCTCTATATATTGGACATATATAGTCCCTTATAGCCTTTAAAAACTAGGGGTTGACTTCCAATAATTATATAAAAAGATTTTTTATCTGAATATATCATTTCTAAATGAAAATAAAACGTACTATGTCTGAACAATTATTTACTTTGTATAAAAAATATGAACAAAAACAATAACAACATTCATTCTTAACAACATTAAGTAATAACAATTGTAATCCCAATCGTTGGGATCAGTGTTTGCCATGGTGGAATCCCCAATGCTTATGGTCCTCGTGACCGCCTTTCTTGCCATGGTGATCATGGTGGTGATGATGCTCTTCGTGTCCGTGATGCCCTTTGTGGCCGTGATGGTCCTCGTCGTAGTGGTGTTTGTCGTGGTGGCCGTGCTTGCCGTGGTGTCCTTCGTGGTGACCAGAATGATGATGACCTCCTTTCTTGTGGTGTCCGCCATGCTCTTCGTGGTGTCCGTGGTGATGCCCGTGTTTGTGGTGCTTGCCTTCGTTGTGATGTCCATCGTGGAAGTGATGATCCTTGTGGAAGTGGTCTTTGTGATATTTCTTGTGATACCCATCAGTGTGCTCGCCCTTGTCGTGGTGCTCGTGATGGCCGTGTTTGCCTCCCTTATGATGATGGCCATGCTCATGATGTTCTCCATGATGGTCATGCTCATCCCAATGTTTCTTGTGACCACCGCCATGTTCGTGATGATGCCCCTCATGATGGTGTTTGCCATGATGGCCATGGTCACCTTTGTGGTGATGGTGGTGGCCTTTGTGTCCCTTCTCGCCCTTGCCGCCGTGCTCGTGATGGTGATGTTCGTGGTGATGGTGGCCACCACCATGTTCGTGATGATGGCCGCTGGCTGCGACGGCAAGATCCTCAGCTTCGGCTTCGTAAGCGGCACACAAGGCCACGAGGCACAGCGCTCCTAGCAGTAGTAACCCCCTCATGTTGCCAGTGCTGAGTAGCTAACGAGAGGAAGTCCGGTTGTGACTGACCTCTGATACGTTGATTGCCTATTTATATTAGCAAGTTGTAGTGCACCGTTTAAAGCGGTGCAGAAATTATTCCGCAAGCATTCGATCGCACTAGTTCATGGACAAATTAAGAAAAACTACATCGTACTCTTTAGCTTAGGTGTCTCGTCGTCGGTAGAGCCAAATATGAAACCTTAAAAATCCTTAGTTAGTTTATTTCATCAAGGATACCTTTTGAATATTTTTTTTTTTTCAGTTTATGTGCTAGAAGTTCAGTCTTCTTTTTATGTGAGATAACATGGAAATGAAAACAATATTCATCGTGTTTCTTCATTCTTGTTTTCCTTTTTCAGTTAGGCTTTCTATAATGCTTGTTATTCCATGTACATAAGAGTGTAACTGCATTTTTAAATACCATCATAGAAGCGGTAGGTATATTTCTTATCGTTATGACTGAAGTAACTCGTGGATACTGGATAAATCATTTATACTTTTATCAGAATCCATGTAGCATAACTCGATACTTATAATTATGGTTCATTTTATAATTTTACTTTTTATTTCATTTAGTCAATATCTTCCATCGGTCACTCGGTTGAGGTCGCATTGTTTGTTTATCGATAGTATCCTTAGTAATGTAAATAAAATGTGAAAGTGAGTATGTTTGTTATCTCTTGGTTTAACGTATTAAACGTAGACGTATTAAATATGGTATAAATACGTAACATTCGTTATAGAGTAGGAGATAGGTTGTGGTTTATCTTGATCAATTAATATATTTTGGTCACGTGGACGAAGTCGTCGATAAAAGCTAGTTTCTATATAAATTAAACGCCCATACAGTTAATACTAGTATTTTGTAAGATAAGATTTTGTAATAAAATCAACACAAAACAAAATTTGTGAACCACGACAATCATCTGAAGCAGTTCATGGACGAGCGGATACCTATAATAAGAGTAGGTAAAAGGTTCATCGAAAAATGTAATGTCGAACACCTACGCCAATTCCACGGCCGGTGGTAGTATTGTTAACCCCGGTCTTCATTCAATAAACATATTGATTGACAGCTTATAAGCTTGAATCGAACGAAAATTATCTGCTTAGTGGATCCTTTCGCATGCAAACGCCGCTATTTGGATAGCGTTAAACAATTCTTCCGAATGACTAAACATGCTTAATCCATGATCCTCGCCCTTGTTGGCTTATGTTCGGACTCCTTCCTGCAAATGCGTTTCTGTTTGAGTATTCACTTCGATTATGCACGCTTATGAGTTCATCACCGCTTATAGGGATGTGAAATAATATAATGCACCATAAATAAAAAAAAATGTTCATATAATTTTTGGGAAACATATTTATTTACTAAATATAATGTTTTGTAAAATTGAAAAAAAAAAAAACAATAAACATTTTATTAATATACAATAGTTAGATACATCCTTATGTAGTAAAAAAAACCTATTATTCCTAAGAATCTTTTTGTTATTTTATTTTCATAATTTAATGTCATACACGCGCTTACGTCGGTTCTAAAGATTAAATGTTCTATGTACCTACCAAGTAATAATATTGTGACTACACGATGTCTGTGCATAGAGAATATTTAAAAAAATATATAAGGGCTCTTAATAAGAGAAACATGTTAAACCAATAAGTTCTACGATTTTTATTGTCTGTCTGTATGTTTGTTTTCGTATCATACGGAAATTACTGCACCAAATCGGATGCGATTTGTCAGTTGTGCTTCTGAAACTCTAAATTTAAATCTGTTGTGTTTATCTTTACACACTATCGGTCTATTTCATGGTTTTCTTACTTCTTATTCTTAATAAAATACTTTCTAATATTTTTAATAAAATCAATTAAGAATTGATGTGTACAAAGTATTTTATTTATTTTCAAGACAAAAATACACGTAAGTTACATTGGTAGTTATTTCATTAAAGTTATATTTTGTGTATTTAATTAAACTTTTAATAATAAAGTATTACATTAAAAAGCTAGTAGATATATTATAAAATTTATTATAAGTATTTAATGTGTTAGTATTTTTAATGTTTGTGTAAAAATGTATTAAGTCAAATAGTAAACATCAAAGTATGTCCGAATGTTCTGTAATCTGCAGTTAAGGTAGGTCAAGTACGGTGGCTAGACTTGACTAAACACCTACCAAACTTTTATTTCTATGTTGGAATGTTCCAATTTTATTTCTTTTGCAAAACGAACGGAATGCTATTTAATTAATTTTCATTATAAGAGTTTCGTTAGGTAATTCATGTTTTGAAATTTTATTTTATTAATAATGGTAACTTAGTGGTTTTGACGTTTACCTACTTTACGTATACCTACGTTCACTGTTTAAAATTATACTCAAAAGTAAATTTCCGAATTCTTTTGGGTTTATCTATTTATTATAAGATTACAAGTTCTCTTCTTATGGGTTTCATTTTATTAGGTAAGTACCCATTAAGGCAATATTCGATTCTATATGTGTAAGGCGAATTTAGTTTATAAATTTACTTAATGTATCTGAAGTTTCTGTCACTTATTAATAATGACAATTGGTGTTTACTAATTTATCTTGCATTTGAATATTAATAATTTAACATATAGGTACTAAGTGAATAAATACGTGAAATATATATGAAAATGCATTTTCCGAGTGCATCTCATCCTGTTATTAACGTAGACATAATACAAAGTGTTACACAAACGTGCTCCATAATAAGTTCACGATCGTTATGGTCTATTGAGCGCTTTTCTAAAGGTTTGCTTTCGAAAGACCCACGACATTTTCAAGGCCAGGATGACCTTCTAGCTTTCGCTTGCTATAAACATAAGTGTACGATTTATTTAGAGGCGAATACCATTAAATTGTAAATGTTTGTATATACGTAGTATAACGTTATTATAAATGTTTGTACCTTGCCGTAGTCGAATTGGTCTTAGGTACTGATGAATAGGTAAGTTTGTTCGTGTAGCGATATAACTCACTGTTTTTTCTGATGGTCGCGGACTGTACAAATATTGATTGATTGATCGGTGTTATCTGATAATAATTATATAGAAAATGTATTATATATGTAAGAATCTAAGATAGGTAGATGTATCTTCAATAAAGTATGTTTATCAGTCATCTATATATGTTCATAATATTAATTACAAAATTAACTGTTAATGAATAAAAAAGTGCCATTTTCAAAATAGGTTTTTTTCCTATCGCCCAATCAGTAAGTTTATTTAAGTATTTTTAAATAAACATCATATCCGTTTACTAGGTTTTACTGAAAGAATAATAAACTTCCATTCATCCGTCAATCCATTCATTCATTCTTACAAAATTTCGTATTTATAATATTAATTACAAATTGCTGTCAATGAATAAGTAGGTTTTTTTGCTACCGGCAAAGAGTTTGTTCATTTTCAGTAAATATTGGTAATCCTTTCTAATATAAAAAAAAATGATAGAATAGAAGAAACCTTCATTTCAAATTAAGCTTATTAAAAGAACTTTTGAATTTGTGGTTTCTATCGAGAAAACTTCGCAAGAAACTCGGTGCAGTTACCTAGCTCGTTACGTTCAAGTATTGTAGAAAAATGAAACATAATAAGAACAAAGTAGATATGAATTGATATCGTTGTTTACCAACTTACGTATGCCGTATCGCTACATACTGTATTCTATAGGTACACGGAGCCCGGAGCCCTAGTTCTAGTAAAACACAAACAGCTAATGCTCTTAGTACATTCAGGGCGTCGTGCTTATGAGTATTATGCGCTAAGAACCGATCCTACTACATTACACAATCTTGTTAGCTGTCCTGGGTTATAATAATAATCCTATTATTTAGTATCTACTTTGTTCTTCACATCTTGAACAAATTATACAAAGATGTTGTGACTGGGGCCTAAAAATTTGCATATAACCCATATTTATTATGTGAGTTAAGCACTAAGAAATTCTTTATGGAAATATACCCATCACGATTACTACGGCTACAGAAAATTCATCGCGTTAGGTAAATCAATGTTGTTTTAATTACAATGTTTACTTTTATTTTATTGAATCGAAACTGAATCTGAAATTAACATATTTCATTTTGTAAATATTGTGACGTGTGCTTTCGGCATCGAATCGGCCACCCTTCCTTTCCCATAGGTGTCGTAATAGGCGACTAAGCGAACTTAATGGTTGAGAATGAGCAACAGCATCCCTCTTAAAATATCATCAAGGCCTAAATGCGGTCACCAACACGTCTGTTAAGCGTGGCAACTAGTGGCAAAACCGCTCTTTATGGGGGCGGTCTATGTTTAACAGTGGATAGCTAACGGCTTATATGGTATGCTACAGTAAATGTTCTCTAAAAATCTCTTTGCACTAAGTTTTAAGGTATCCATTTGAAAGAATAAAAAAGTATTTTAAGAACTTATATATTTATGGTTAAAATAAGTAAATATTTAAAATAATACAACTACGATTGTATTTTTAGTCATTAAGTATAAAAAGGTATATAAGTATATATATAAATATTATAAGTATTATATACAACAGCCACCATAAAATGAATTATTAATTTAGTGTAATTGTATCATATGTATAATATGAATGAATGAATGATTTATTTATGTGTAAAATATTGGTAAGTATATTAAGATGTTACATAATATTATTTCAATAATCAATATTTTGCTATTGTATGAAGGCATATAAATTTAATCATAGGTAACTATAACATATTAATCAACCTCAAAGTATTATTATGTTAAAAATATTTATAATAATTAGGCACTTTTAATTTTCTCTGCATAATTATAAAAATATCAAAATTTAATTTTTGTTTCACATTATTAATAATGTAGAATTACTTTTGCATTAAAATCAAGTGAAAGTATTAATAATTTACTTTGACAGATTTTATTCGTTCTAGGTGAGAAAAAAGGTCTGAATTGTGTAGGTATAAGGAGTATAGTATATAATGTAATGTGGGTCCAGGCGTGGCTTACAACATACTCGTATTGTCATGGCTCGGAGGTTAGCCCCAGATAATCCCGACCATTGTTAGCTATTTTAATGCTTATGCCTTTTGTGCGACCGTCCTGTATTAAGTCATACGCGGATAATCGCTGTATTATGCCGAGTTAATTTTCCATTAGCTTGTACCAGGGAGATTGGCAGCTGCTTACTGTCGCACCCAGACAAATCGGCGACATTTTGCATTAGTGCTTCGTATTTACTATTCTCGACGAATAGTATTTTGCATTAGTGATTTATGATAATAATGTATACGATATTAAATACAAGGCGTTTGATTTGATTAATTTTTCTTTACGGTTTGTATGGGGATTATGTAGAAATTGAAAAGGTAGATACATCATGTAAGTATGAGGTACCGTATATGTATGTCGAGAACAATTATTAAAGTTAATACTTTTGCACTAAATAAATACTGCTTTCACCAATATAATTATGTATCTACTTATTTTCTTCTTATGTTAGAAAATAAGTCAAAGTAAAAAAAAAACTTTAATCCTGGATTAAGGCAGAGATTAGCTAGACAGTGCGATCTAGGCATAGAATGGGCCACCCTTTTCGTTTATGTGGGAGTCGTAAGTGGCGCCTAAGGGAACTTAATGGTCGAGCGATGGGCAGCAGCGTCCCTTTTAAAACATCACCAAGGCCTAATTGCGGTTGTCGACTCGCCTGTCAAGCATGGCAACTACTAGTAAAACTGTCCTTATGGGGAAGGCCTATGTTTAGCAGCAAAGAGTTACCGTTAACGGATGACATAATAAAATATAATAGCTAGAGAGGGTCTTATCAAATACGTTTAATTCTAATATTTTCCATCAGATTACATCATAAAGGTATTTGTTACACCATAACTATTAGATATCCAAATGCGACGATTAAAGATATTAATGTCTTTAATCGTCGCAAAGGAGATAAAACATAGGTAAGGAGTAAATTGGAGCGAAACCGATGGGATAGGTTAGGACCATACCAAATCAAAACTAGTCATAATATTTGATACATAAAATTTAGATACATAAAATTGTGTATGTATAGTTAACACATTTAAACTTTTTTTATTTAATGAAGCCCAATGTGAGTGTATATAGTACCTAAATATGTATACTTTATTATTAACATTAGATGTAATACTTACAGAAAATTACTTAGACTCATTCTTAAAAAATCTATTTAGGTTCCTATTTATAAATACGAACGACCATTCTACAGTTCTATAAGTTGGCTATAAATTCTGGGCAGTTTGAGTAATCTGGTCTTACTGTCACGCATCGTCGAGTGTGACCAATATTTGTCGGAATAAGACACCGTAAAGATGTTTCCGGACCGTAAAAGTATCATATTAACTGTTTAAACACTGGATCGGAGGTTTTATCGGTAGCAGCTGGCCGACACGACTAATTACATCAATTACAGGCAAACAGAGCAATGCTCGGGTTTCGTGGCTCCCACCTTTGTCAATATTTGCAGAGTTGCGACGACTGGCGCGGTCGCGCGACCATAGCCGCATTGCTGTTACTGCCCGCCTCTTTTGTCTCCTCTTTGTAAATAGAATAATTATCGAATATGATAAGCATTTTTATTTTTTTATTTTTATATCATTATTACATGACCATCATGATTAAATGTTATTTGATTTATTACTTATTTATTATATTATTTGAATTAATACTTATTTATTTTAAAGACCCTACAGATTAGAGAAGTGTCCACAACGAGAGTGGTCGCTTATTTAGTCTGTAGGGTCTTCTGAATGGTCTGCTACCCCTGCAGCCGATGAATACTTACAAGTTCGCAATATTAGAGGCAATCGAGTGCCGATCCCTGACTTTAATATCTGAGTGTATAAATTAAGTACGCTGTACTTCATTGCCATATTTCATCAATCTGTAGAATCATAAAAATTATTATTCAAAAATGCTTATAATTAATAAAACATTATTTTTATTTACCCTTTAAATCGGAACTCGGCTTGCTTGGCAGCGCTAGAAATTAATACGTTGTATTAACCCTTTAAGGGGAGGTTTATGTTAAGCAGTGGACAGTTAACGGTTTATATGATGATATTATTGTATTATTAATACTGCTATAATATAATATTGTAAATAGTATTAGTATGCTTGGAGAATGTGATATTTGCCCACGTAGACGACTTTATGCAGTCTGTCGCTGGTTAAACAACACCTTGTAAACAGTTCCTCATATACCTACTCCATTAACATGAATCTTTTTTAGCTATGCCTACAACGTTAAAATCGGTGAATATTTTAATTATTTATTTAAGTCCATTTTTGGAATTACCGTTGACGCGTCTTTATACCGTATAGTCTATAATACCTACATATATCTACGATTGTGACAAAATCTCTCTATTTTGTAAAACTATAAAATATAAAACAGAATAAAAAGTAATTAATAAGCAGTGACAATATTTCTACTAATAAAAGATTTTTATTTTAATAAACAAAAATTGCTATATAATTAATAAATTTATATTCGATTAAAAATTATTTAATATTTGCAAAGAATTAGCAATGCAATCGTCGTGTAAAAAAATCAGTCGAACTGTGAATTTTCTTTGAATAAAATTTCATATTACAAAAAAAAAATATGAGATAAAGTGTATTGCGATTTTACATGATTATTATACATAGGTACTCGATATATTATAAAACTACTTTGTTTTTGTTATGTAAGTATGTAGTTATAGGTACCGCTTAACTGCTAGATTATGGACCGGCTGAGAAGTCGCTGTCGTCGGTTACGACAACTAGAGGTAGGTATCTGTCATCCCGTGCAACTGAGTGAAGGTACTCATTTCTATGAGATAAAAATTGTAGAGACACAAAACCGGCGTCCAAGCTTACTCGCTAGTCGAATCTATCGAAAGGCTAAAAGGTAATTCGCCAAATGGTTGACTACACAAACATTTTCATAGCTCTATTTTTCCGACTGTACCTACTTACATATGTTTGTTAAGATTAAAAGCAATATTTGGAAATAAAAAAATGTCTCGTTAATCTATTACGTAGGTACGTCTTTATCGTTATACGATTCTGATAAGCTGCAAAAAGGCAATATAGTGAAACGCCAAGGGCGAAATTTTGACAATGGGTATCTACACTACGTCGCTCAATTTGTTCGTTGTTAGATAAAAGATATAATCCTCACGTCTTTGACAATTGGCACAAAAAGGCTATGTTACTAAAGTGGTTGTGATGATGCGAATGCGTGAAGGTGTATAGCTTTGAGGATATGGAACGGATGAGGGGGGAGGGAGGATAATCCGGTGAGGGAGGCTGAACGATGTTGATGGTATAATTTATTGTACTTAGGTATAAGTATCTATTTATTTATTTACTAGTTTTTACTAGCGACTTCAACTGCGTGACCGGAATATTGACCAGATTGGCCAGAATAAAAAAAAAAAAAAATAGCGAGATTTGATTGTTAGTTTTAATGGATATACTCAGAAACTACATGACCGATTTTAAAAATTCTTTTACTTATAGGTGAAAGAATTTTTAATGAAGCTTTATAAAAATTCTACTTATCTATCCGTGTGAATTCGAGCCGGATCGCTAGTTTAGTAATTGTTATACTCAAATAGTACGTAATTATTCTTAAATGTAATATCATATATGTAATAAGTGCTTATTTGGTAGATAATCATATCAGAATCATCACCTATATTTTAATATAATAAAACCGTTAGTAGATATTTTTCTTATGTAATTATTATATTTTTTTAAGTAATACCTATCCGAGGTTATACATTACTTTATTGATATATTTTTTAATTTTAAATTTTTTCTAAATATATGCATGCAAGATATTTAGGAATTTGATGAATATAACAAAGTTTAGTGGTTATATGGAGTTAGTATTATCTAATAGAGAGGGATACAGATTACTGCTGCTTGTTTGGGAGCGTCATATTGTCACATCCATTAAGTTCAACACGGGGCGGAGTCTCGGGGGCCACGCCCCAGCGCCCCGGCGCACGCCCTGTGCGCGTGTGCGCCCCACACACGCTCCGCGCCGAGCGAGTCTCGGATCGCGCCCCGACGACTCACTAAAACGATTTACTCTCAATCGCATCACGTATGTCATATTATCCTTTAATTACTAAACTACATTAATCACTGCTACGCGTTAACTTTATTTTTACTGTTATTATACAAGTTCGGAACAAACACTGATAATTTATAACCGAAAGTGAATAAATAATATATAAATGCATTATTAAAACGCTCTCAAATTCATCATAAGTGGTTAAAAAGTGCGTACATTATAGTCGAAACCTTAGATTCATATAAAATAGTGCATCAAGGTGATTTAAAATACGTTGTTGAAATAATGATTAGTAGGGACAGCAGACTATAATGTGGTGTGTGGGTGCGTGTTGTATGAGGTGGTCTGTGTCGCGGTGAGTGTGAGCAGGGTGGCGACGCAGCCGGAGTCGCGGGCTGGGGGTATGGGGGGCGGGGGCGGCGGGTGGCCAAGAGAAGCGCCCGCGCTGCTGAGCACGGCGCTGCTGCTAGGCGGCTCGCTGCCAGAGCGGCCACCGGCCCCGCTCTTCACCATCGACAGCATCCTGGCACCACGGCCGCAGCCCCCAATACCTCCACTGCAATTACACCATTTAGCACATTCAACATTTCACCGAGCACACGATCTATTCGGTATGTTTCTGTTTACTTCAATATATTGTAGGTACCTTATAAGCATACCTATGTGAGAATTGATGGATTGGGTATTTAGATTACTAAGCACCAAACGTTATAGTTAGAGCTTTAGATAATGGATTGCAATTTAAAAGCATTAAAAACTTAATATATAATAAATACCTTTTGGCAAAACCTAAAAGAGTAAGGACTATATACATATTTATTCTTATGACAAAATATATAGGAACATACATTGGTAAGGCGGATCATCATAATGATATAGGTATACTCTACAATAGGATCTTATGATGGTCGACATCTAAATGGCGGCCAGATCATAGTTAAATCCAAAACTTATTTTAGATTAACTTAGGTATGTAGATTTAGATTCAGATGAAAAGTTCAAAACTTTATTAACATAGGCACCTATAGGGCGAAGTGTTTAGACTTACACGTGGCAAACGTTAATAAAGGTACTTACATTTCAACTGAACTTTATTTCTCTGTGATTTGAAGTTCTGAAATGTGAAAGTAAAATTTTAACAACAGAATAAAGAAAATGATTAGCCACCAACGCGCTTACCTATAGGTTAGCGTAACACAGTTCGCCAACCCGTCTGCCAAGCGTGGTAACTACTGGCAAAACCCCTAATAGAGGGACGCCTATTTTTTTTTTTTTTTTTTTATGTTCAGCAGTGGACAATTAACAGCCGATACAGTGTGGTATGGTAAGCGAAACACAACAGTTTTATTACAAAACGCATATTAAAGATAATACCTATTAGAGTTAGCACTTGAATAAATCACGGATCACAAAGAATCCTTATCTAAAAAAACTAAGTTTATCACTAAACTGTGGACCAATTATGGTCTAAAGTAAATTAGTTTTAAAGTAAGTTTAAAAAGTTTTATTTTGAATTCGTGTTATTACAAGTTGCCGGCAAACAAATAATTCTGTAGGTAGGTATAACTAAACTATCTATTATAAATTTATTTATTTATGAATATTTAGGTTAAACTCCGTTTTATTTTAAATGCTTTTATCATTTGCGTATAGGTGTCATACTCGTATTTTAACGTAGGTAACAACTAGTGGATGGTTTAAAGCAGAGAATGAATATCATACCACTTTTTCTGGTTGTGCAACTTTAAACTTTTCACTTGGTGCAACCGATACAAGAAAATACGAGTTCACTATCGTGTTTTGTTTTCAAGATTATTTCGATTTAAGTCTTAGTTAATTCTTAGTGTACCTAAATTAGGAGTTCGAGTTTCGACAAATGTTTGGCTAAAACAATAGCCGAATTTTTTTTTTTTTTTTTTTTTTACAACACAGGGGGCAAACGAGCATGGAGTTCGAGTTTCGATGATCAAAACACCAGCGGCATGTTTGGCTAAAACAATATACCGAATTTGATTTGAAAATATGTTTATAAAGTTATTTTCTGTGGCATTCCAACCCGTCGGATTTATCATGGTGCTTTACCTTACATGATGGTACCTAGATATCTTGTAGCCTTTTTCTTTCATCCATATGGAGTTTCGTGATTTGCGATATTAATTATAATCTTCTGGCTTTGAATTCTCCATATTTAGAAGACTTACAACCTATTTGGATTATTATGACTATATACCTATTTCAAAATTATTAAAATAAATGTATTTTCAATAAAAGAAAATGTATTTGCCATGTCTTCCTTTTCTCATGGACAAGTTATGAATTTATAAAGTAACTGATGCTATGAATGATAAAATTCGCACTTATACATATACACAATTAAATAAAGGTACAATTTAATACAAATACATAGTTTAAATAAAAACAAAATGAATAATTAAAAAAGTTGTACAAAATAACTACATAAAAATAAGGTTTTTATCAAAATTGTGATAGAAACCAAATTTAGTTTCGGTTTTAGTTGTGTAATCTAGTTTCTGTTGATCGTTAATTCTGCACATGCCTGAATCAACGCAATATGCACCTTATATTTTTACAAAGACGCTGGGATTGATTATGAGCCAGTATTTTAATTTGATAGTTTCGTTTTATGGACTAAATAATAATTTTGTCTTAAATGCACCTACTAAAAATTTAGTTGTATTCTTATATTAAATTAAAGCTTTAGTTTTAAGGATAAGTTTAGAGTAATGGCGCATCAGAATTTCTCTTTTTAATACTTTATCTGAGGGGGACTTTGTACAGAAGTTGTCTGCTTAGGTACTTCTGTCCCATTTGTGTTTCTGCCGTAAAGCAGTTGTATTTGCATGGCTGTGTTTCGGTTTGAAATGAAATAACAGGCTGCAGAGGCATAACACTTTAGCCCTGAGGAATGACAACGCATGAAGGGTATCACGGGCGATATAGTATATTCTGTTATGTCTATGGTAGTGTTCATGTCAATGGGTTATAGGTTGTATGGTTACCACTTTCCATCAGGTGGACTGTCAGCTTGTTCGCCATTCTAAGTTGCATAAAAAAATTAATTAACTCGCTTTATTGAATATGCATTACCTATTGCCAATTGTACAATAATTTTAATAATACTTTTGCAGTGGATAATGTTTATAGTCGTGCACTAACATAATTAATACTTATTTCTCCTAGCGACGATTACTTTTCAAACATGAGGGTTGAGGTTACATTGCCGTGGGGCTTCCGAAGTCTTTGCTACTTTAGAAATAAAAGTCATGTTGTTAGCTTCCTTTTACAATTTTCTTCTAGCTTTCATTAATGGAAGTACCTATTTATTATTGTACGTAAAAATTTTAACGAAAAAACGATTCATAAAATAATTAATAATGTAGATATTTGCTTTTATATAAATTAGAGCAGATAAAAATAAAATACCTACACTTAGAAATCTGTGTACTTAATAAATTTTAAAAGTGAATCTATTATAAATTGGTGAGCCTGAGCAATTTCTTGTTTTGTTGTATATAATAAATTATGTATTGTAATTTTTACTATGAACCATATAACTAGTCTGGCCATAAATACTGTTATATAAAAACTTTTTTTTCAACTTTTTAATTATTTTGAATTTAGAACACTTTTATTATTTTAAAAACTTATTTCCATTTTGCATATAATCACATTTGCATTTTTCACATAAGGAATGGGGTTCTTCAACAAGAAAATAGGATTGTAGTGATTGCCTTGCACAAAGTGGGTATGAAGCCGTCGCTCATATTCCAGACACTTCAAAAGCTTGGTATCAGCCATATGTTCGTATACCGTATTATTAACAGATACAACAACACTTCCTCTGTCGAAAACCAGAAAAGATTGGGGCGGCCGCGTGCTGTTAGAACTACAAAGGTTGTCAATGCTGTTAAAGCTAGAATTCGTCGAAACCCCATTAGGGAGCAAAAAATCTTATCGCGAGAAATGAAGATTTTCGCTAGGACTCTGTCGCGTATTATAATACAAGACCTGAAGCTCGGTGCTTATCGTAGATATACAGGACATGCCCTAAATCAATCTTTAACCAATTTAAGAGAGAAAATCGATCCAAACGCCATCTATTGCGATACGCAGGTGAAAGGCACAGAAGTATTCTCTTTACCGATTTAAAAATTTTCACGATTGAAGAACACTACAATAAGCAAAATGATAAAGTGTAAGTTTACAGTTTTAAAGAAGCTGCTCAAGTGGTCGGAAAGGTATAACGTGGTCATTATCCTGCGTCAGTGATGGTTTGGTGGGGCGTGTCTTATCAAGGAGTCACAAAACTACATTTTTGTGAAAAAGGAGTGTAAACTTCAACTTCAAAAAGTGTATCAAGATACAGTCTTGTATCGTGTTGTGAAACCTCTCAGAAATACACTTTTTAAAAATATACCATTGACTTTCCAGCAGGACTCTGCACCTGGTCACAAGGCACGAACTATCCAAGTCTGGCTTGAAACCAACGTTCCGGACTTTATAAGAGCTGAAAATTGACCCTCATCTAGTCCAGACTTCAAATTATGGGCAGTTTTAGAGGACAGACAGAACAGGTCATGTTCCAAACGATACGGTGACATTGAGTCTCTTAAAAAATCTTTGAAGCAAGCAGTGGCAAATTTTCCCTAGGAAACAGTGCGTAAAGCCATAGATTCGTGGCCAGACAAATTAAAGGTTTCAACCGTGAAGCAGTTGTGTTTGCATGGCTGTGTTTCTTTGAAGAGTAAAATTTACTGCAGAGGAATAACAAGTCCTCAGGAATGGCCATTTCATGAAACAGATAATATTTTTTTTGTCTATATTTTTCCATCAGGTGGGCTCAGAGACTTTAATAAATATTTTTTTTATTTTTTGTAAGTAAGTATAATTTTAATAATTACAATAATAAAAATTACATTAATTACATTACTTCATTAAAAAAAAAATACATTTTCATTTGTGACAGAACTTATGGCTGGATTAGGTACATATTTGTATTCTTTATAATGAAATAATAACTTGTAAAAATTTAGGTTGTAGGTATATGGAAAATCCCCAAATAGTATTAAGTTTTTCAGTTGTTAATACAATTATTATCAATATTACTTACTGGAGGTATAAGAGTGATTACTATGATTTTTGGATGTTTAATGAATTCGACATAAATAAAATTTTTTTTTGGAAAAATGTCTACAGTGGGTACGGACAGTATTTCTAATAGTTTTTTTTTTTCGAATTGATACCTACTGCTAAATTTCACCATTGTACAATCTACCATAAACTAAAGTTACATCCTAAGCATGTGGGTGAGTGGCGGCCTTACATCGTGCGTTTTTGAAGACTCTTTTTTCCACCCACAACTACACATTGGCATCAACTTCCAGCAGCATTATTTCCAAACTGATAAGTCATTGTAACCTTCAAGAAAAGAATATAATCCTTTGTGTATGCTCATGGGTGGCGGTAGTCACTTACTATCAGAAGAACCGCATTCTCGTTTGTCCCTTGTGTTTAAAAAAAAAAAAAAACATAAACTTGCTTATTATTTGGGGATTTATACCTCGTATTTGCAACGAATATGGATGCAACAGTAGCGGAGTACCCGGTATAGCCTAGGGCGAAGTACGGTTTATCTCCATTATTGGACTTACATCTTTTTACTTTTCATTTTGCAGAACATTTTAATATTTAAAAATACCCATGGGGCTCAGTAGATTGTTGCATAAACAAACTGTTGTTTTAAATTAAGCTACGACGTGGTATTTATGTTTTAGAAATTATTATAGACTTACAATGAATTTTTTGTTGGTGTATAGGTAAGTATACATTTTTTATTTATAATTAGATATACTGTTTTAATAAAATTTATTGTGGTATTAATTTACAATTTGGGTTAACGGTATTGACTTACTGACTTAACAAATACTGAAATACATGAAAGTATCTTTTTTCTAAACAAATGTAAAAATTTGGTACGCGAATGACATCGCGGACATATATAATACTTTATATATGTATTTTTAGGAAAGCTTAGGGCTTAAGATTCAGTTAATATTTTCTTTGTGGTACTTAAAATTAAGAAAACGGTAGAATCGTCTTTATATATAGATAGCATTATGGTTATAACAGAATACATTGTGATATCTACGCTACTCCGTTATACATTGTAATTCTTGAGAACTATAGTGTTACCTATGTCTCAGTTCCTACCCTGCACTCGTAATTTCATCATGCTACGTTATGTCCTGCGATTCGACACACGCATGTGAACACAGCTGCTTCAAAGCATAAAAACGGGTGGTATACTTAGAGGTTCCCTAGAAAATAGACCTAAAATTTAAGAATTTAGGAATTCTTAAATTTTAGGTGTAATACCAAAACAGAACGCTAGGAACCATTTTCAGTTAAGACTGAAATTTGCGTTCTGTTTTGGTAAAACCTTAACTGAGCTCGACAATATACACTTAGAATATTTTTATCCTAGATGACACAAGCAAAGTTGCAGGATATAATAGTAATAAATAATTAACAAACTCACACTTTTATAAAAAATCTATATAGGTGACTGATGTATTTCGAATAACCCCAAGTTGAAAAGTCACCAATCAATGAAGACAAACTGTTTTCGATTGGCGACGGTTTGTATAAAAAGTTGTACGGATTTTGACTGTTAGTGGATAGTTAGTTGTTTATTGATGTTGAAATAATGAATAACGTGAATAATAATTTTATTGCGAGCGAGTAAACGTTACAGAGAAACGCGGTTATGAGCAATTTTTTGTGTGTATTTTATTTAAAATTGCAAGATGCAAGAAATAAATTAATGTTGGTTAAAAACACAAGTAAAAACGGCAGACAAACTGACAGTCCATCTAATGGAAATTAGTAGTCGTATATTACTCATAGACATGAATACTATGTATGTATGGAGCGATGACCACGTATATGTTGCAGGGTGTCAATGAAAGTAACTTAGGACTGTTTTCTATGGTAATCAATAAAGGAACTCTACATTGTAATGACAGTCAAATAAATTCAACCCCTACAATAATATTGCTTGTAGGTCAATATGATATTATTATTCTCATATGTCTATGAAATATGAGAATAATAAAATCGATACGGCTTAAGTTGACGCCCGCGTAAATGCAGGGAATGATGTGTACAAAGCCAGCGATAGCGCCTTAGCAATGTGCCGCCGGCCTTAAAAGCTTTTATATTTCTTTTACAAATAATACCTACTTATTTTGCTGATGTTGGAAGTATGCAAAAATATTCAATTTTTATTCGTAGCGTTAATATTTTGTTCTGCAGGGTGGTGAGCGTACCGGGAAAACTTGAGTCTAAGCTCGGATATTCACGCACCGATTGTTTTGCCACGTATTACAGCTGATCGATTGTGACGTGTACAATTCTTATGTTTCAAAACTTTTTATTATTTTCTTTGTATCTTTGAGATAGATGTACTAAGTGCGAGGACATCATTTTAAAACTAAATATGAATAAGATATTTAAATAATTTTGTGGTTAGAATGAATTATGAATTATAATTTTGATCAGTTTATCCTATGTACCGCATACACTCATTTAACTGATACTGGAAGGTCGTCTTGAAGGCAACTACAGTCAACTACATTGTTTCTAATTCATTTGTCAGTCTGTATTATATACAACCTTGAAATATTTATATAACAGAAGGTTTTATTCATTGTAGTCTAGCAATAAGCTTTTTTTCTTATTTTACGTGTATATTTTACAACTTTAATACATTATACGTAACGTATAAGAACTAGCGAATTACCCTGTTTACGCATGAGTGCATAATAACATGTCATTTTAAATATTATATTTTGTGGCATATATAAGGCTTAAAATTATCCTGTTTCAAGCTGGAATTAAATATACATTTATTCACAAAATGTCATTGAAATCGGACGGGCAGTTTTGGAGGTTAGCGTTTAAGAATATGGTGACAGATGATTTTTATAAATGAAGATAATTCAATTCATATCTTTGCTAATCAAATACATATTGTATTCAAGTGAGATAAGAATATTTTGTCAGTAAAGGATTATAGGTATTTAGAATTCATGTTTACGTATTTTAAAATATTATTAAATAAATTCAGGTAACTTCTTTGATTTTTGGTACAGGTGTCGGCAACGTGGGGAGTGCGGTGTCAGGGGCCGGGGGCTACGCAGGCCTGTATGGAGGCTACGCGGCCGCCGCCTTGGCCGGTTTGGCGGGCCCGCCGCCCAAACGCAAGCGGCGCCACCGCACCATATTTACTGAAGAGCAGTTGGAACAGCTTGAGAGCACTTTTGACAAGACACACTACCCTGATGTGGTGCTACGGGAACAGTTAGCGCTACGAGTCGACCTCAAGGAAGAAAGAGTTGAGGTATGTTCTTATGACACTACGACGAAAGAATATTATTTACTAGTTAGTATTTAAAATTATTAATATAGTCTATTTTTATTCTACAACAAGACATTTTAAGCCATTTTGTTGTTTTTTTTAATGAAATTTTATTTAACTTAGTTTCCATTTATGCAGCTATGTTGCGTAAATATATATATGTATATTCCCATTGTACCTCTCGCCATAGAGCTTGTGCTGGTCCCCCCTTTTCCCATTTATAAATAAAGACCCTCTAACTAAAGCTTTTGAAAAGCCTACCCTAATGAAAGCCTATAAAACCTACCCTAACGAATGGACTAACACCCTTTATATAACCCCATACCTATGTTGCCATGTACACCTCAAACACCCTATGAATCATATAAACACAATAAACACATAATATTCATCAGATCTGATAGTAGAACACTTGATCAAATGGCCAGATAAATAAATGTGTGATCGTCTAATAATGTAGAACCCTGTGTGCGTTTAATAACTAAGAGGTTCTTTAATTGATATATGATAGGAATTAAATAATGAAGATGATTGATAAATCTTTTAGTATTAAGAATACTTAATGAATTATACTCATTTAAAGTTATGTTAATTTAAAATTAAATTACAAAACAATTGTAATAAAAAAATTGGGGAAGTGGTCGAGCCCCCCACACGCCCAGACCAGTGGTAGACTTTCCAACTATCTATAGCTCTTCCTCCTGAAAGGAATAGGTCGAGAGCTACTAAAAGTGATGAGTGCTATTGAATGAACTATAAGTCCAATCAATTATATTTAATAATATTGTTGATTAACCACATTGTGAATTAATCAATTATTTATTCAGAGAGATATATCTAAAGGAACCATAAGTTCTCTAAAAGACTGATTAATCATAAGTTAACAACGTCTCGTGAAATAACCAATTGGATTTTCTATAAGTTTGAGGACAGTAAGTCCAACTAGCTATTATTGTGTTGAGAGGAATAGAGATCTTTTTGGTAATAATTGTAGAGGTTTGATTAATCATGTTATATAGAGGAATTTCGGTGGAATATTTACTTTCATCACCTACTTCATCTCACACTTAGGTGCTGGTTCAGGGCTCCCGTAATTCGTGTTATCGGTGTCTATTTTTTCCTCGATTTATGTGTATGCATATAAAAACAATAATAATAACAAATAATAACCTAAACTCACCCCAAATAACCGAAGATTATTAATATTTTTAATCACTGCCGTGGAGGTCGATGGTTGTTCCCGCGTAAAAGTTGACACACAGGCGTTGTTGCACGGCACTCACACCAGAGGGCAGGCGTTTCCATATATCCCCGTAATGACTAATTTACAGGGACAATATATATTTATATGTGTGTGTGTGTGTGTGTGTGTGTGTGTAGAATTGTGAAAGTGTGGTGCCGCGATAAAAATATTGCAGATAAATTAAACATCCCCCCGCCCGAGAAAGGCTGAATGCCTTTATCAAACAAAACCGCTTAAAATAAATAAATATTGGAAACTGTATAGACCGCACTTATACAGAACCCACTTATGAAACCGCAACAAAAATAATACTAATAAATTAAAAAAGCTAAACTAATACATAATAAATAACAAGGTTGCAACTAATTAGAGGAAGTCTGCAAATCTTGACAACTGGACGCGTTATAGTGCCAGTTGCAGTCTTAAGTTTCACAACTCGTACTACACTGTCTTTACCAGGCAACAACTCTAAAATCCTGCCTAATCTCCACTTTAATGGTGGTAAATTTTCATCTTTAATTAGAACTAAATCATCCACCTTGGGAGGGTCTGTAGGAGACATCCATTTATTCCGCATTTGAAGAGTATGGAGGTACCGCTCACTCCACTTTCTCCAGAAACGCTGTGACAGTGCCTGAATAAGATTATACCGATTTAACCGCGAGTTAGGAATATCCTCAAAATTATATTCGGGCACTGATAACAAAGATCGACCGATTAAAAAATGTGCCGGTGTTAAGACTTCAAAATCTTGAGGATCTTGTGTCAAAGGACACAAGGGCCGGCAATTAAGAACCGCTTCTACTCTAGTAAATACCGTTACTAGCTCCTCAAAAGTTAATACCTGGTCACCGATGACCCTCCGTAATAACGTTTTGGCTGCCTTTACCGTAGCTTCAAAAAGACCTCCAAAATGTGGCGCTGCTGGCGCATTAAAACGCCAATTAATATTTTGTTTAGCAGCAGTACCACTAAGCTCCGCTTGTACTTCCCGAGAAGCTAAATACCGCTGTACTTCATCCAAATGTCGGTTTGTGCCTACATAATTGGTGCCATTATCCGACCGAATTACACTCGGGAGACCTCGTCGAGATGTAAACCTGGTCAAAGCTGCCAGAAAACTATAAGTAGATAAGTCCGTAACACATTCAAGATGAATGCACTTAGTAGCTGAACAAATGAAAACGCACAGATACGCCTTCAAAGTTTTTGCATTTCGCAAACGTGAATGCTTTATAATAAAGGGTCCGGCAAAATCCGTTTGCACAGTATGAAAAACTCCCGTAGCAATCACTCTATCGGTAGGTAACGAAGACATCAAGGGTTCCGCGGGTTTAGCCCTTGTCCGAAAGCATGAAATACATTTAAAAATTCGGCTACGTATAACTTGACGTGCCGAAATAATCCAAAATTGACTTTGTAAAATAGCCTGCAATGCCGTTGAACCTATATGGCAATGCATTTTGTGATAATGATCAATTATTAAAACCGTTAATGGATGATCTTTTGGCAGAAGAAGAGGATGTTTCCTATTAAAGGACAAATCGGAATAATTCAATCTTCCTCCTACGCGTAATAGACCATCCTCACTAACGAAAGGCATAAGCCGCCGCAACCCTAAAGAACAAAGACTCTTTCGATTAATACAATCCAAATCATTAGCAAACGCTGTAGTTTGAACCAATTTTATTAACCGCAGTAAGGCAAATTGCCTTTCCTTTGCTGTCAAAACACCGGTAACTTTATGATTTGGATTTTTAGAATTATTAATAAACCGAAAACTATAAGCCACTACCGCTAGCAGTACAGTTAATGAACTAAACCGCGTAAAGATGGGATTCGCTTCCGTCTGTACCATATGAACTTTTACCATCGTCTTGCGAAGACCAGGCAAATCGCCTTCTGCCTTTTTCATTATATTCTGAGGCCAGGTATCAGCCTGACCTTTAAGCCAAGACGGACCCCACCACAATGTGTGTTCGAGCAATTCCGACGCGCGACAACCACGACTTGCAACGTCTGCAGGGTTCATTTCCGATGGTAAGTGCCGCCACTTTATATCTACACCGCTATTGACAATCTGTGACACTCTATTTCCTTCAAAGGTCTGCAAAAGATGAGGTGAGATCCGCAGCCATGAAAGTACGATAGTGCTGTCTGACCAACAAACAATATCTTCAATATCCACCTCATTCTGAATAGAGTCCACGACGTATTTGGTAAGCCGTACCAATAATGTCGCGCCACAAAGCTCTAGTTTGGGAATGGTAAGTTTGGACTTTACTGGTGAAACTCTTGACTTAGCCATCATTAAAGTTACAGTAACCTCACCACAGTTATTGACCGCTCTCAAATAAACAGCTGCGCCATAGCCGAGTTCAGACGCATCAGCAAATCCATGAATAGAGCAAATCTTAGAATCTCCTAGGGCAAACCGCTTCAGATTAAAACTTTCAATTACAGGCAAATCCTTTAAAATGCCTTGCCAATCCGCAACAATATCCGCAGGTGGTTTGTCATCCCATGACAACTTTAATAGCCAAAGCCGTTGCATCAGAATCTTACCTTGTAAAATGATTGGAGAAATCCAGCCCAATGGGTCAAAAGTTCGAGCTACCGTCGACAAGATGAAACGCTTTGTACATATTACATTATCATTCAGCTTGGTATGATAAGAAAAACTATCATTACTGGGATCCCATTGGATGCCTAATATTTTAATGAAGCTAGGCCCGTCCGCATTATCTACAAAGATACGAGGTTTTTCTAAATCTTCCTCAGATATGTTTCTCAATAACTCCGCGGTGTTAGAAGTCCATTTACTGAGATCAAATCCGCCCAATTTTAATAAACCGGTCAGATCCCGCTTAAGATTTTGTGCTTCTTCTAGCGTATCCGCACCACCCAAAATGTCATCCATGTACACGGAAGTACGAAGAAGACGCGCCGCCGCCGGAAACCGTGATTCTTCGTCCTCAGCCAACTGTCTTAAGGTCCGTATCGCGAGATAGGGACTCGACTTCATCCCGTAAGTGACGGTATTCAATTGATAAAGTTGAAGAGGCATATCTGGGGACTCTCTCCAGAAGATGAGTTGATATGGCCGATCTTTTGGGTTAATCAAAATTTGACGGAACATCATTCGGATGTCCGTTGTAAATACATATTTATGTAATCTAAATCTACAAATAATCTCCATTATGTCGCGCTGAAGCTTGGGCCCCGCATGCAAACAATCATTAAGACTAACTCCGTTACTAGTGCTACCACTAGCATCAAATACGACCCTTATATTTTCCGAACCTACTTTAAAAATTCCGTGGTGGCATATAATATAAAAACAACCGGAAACATAGTCTTCTGGTTTACCGACGCAGAGTGACATATGTCCCTTTTCCGCATAGTCTCTCATGAAATCTACATATTTTTTACGCAACGAGTCATTACGCTGAAGCCGTTTTTCCATTGCCAAGAACCGCTTCTTAGCTAATGGGACTGAATCTCCAAGCAAAGGTTTGTTGGATAAAAAAGGCAAATGTACAACATACCTACCGCCCTTATCCCGCTGATGAGTGCTTACAAAAATAGACTCGCACTCCATGTCCATAGGGTTTTTAACCGCGTGAGGAAGGTCTTCAATTTCCCAAAATCGTTTCAAAATATCATCCGTAGAAATGTTAGAATAAAATGTATGAGAAGAATGAGTAGCCCGAGGACATGGATCTGTAGCCATAAATGT